AAACTAACTCTGATTCTGAAGATGGTTTAGCCTTAGCAGTGAATGAACAGGTACATCATCAGGATGTGTGGTATTTAGATACTGCAGCTGATTATCATATGTGTCCAAGCAGGGAGTGTTTTTCAACTTATGAGCAGATAGATGGAGGACATATTTCTATGGCCAATGGTGCTATCTGTAAGATTGTTGGAAGAGGCTCCGTCAGTATGAGGACACATGATGGTTCTGTTCGCACCTTGAACAATGTTAGGCATATTCCAGAAATGACTAAGAATCTGATATCTTTGAGTCTACTCGACAGTAAGGGTTTCAGCTTCAAAGGTGAAGGTGGAGTGTTGTCTGTCTACAAGGGTTCTAAGGTGATTTTGAAAGGTGTCAAGCGTGGTGCCTTGTATAATCTACAAGGTTCTATTTTGACATGTTCTGTTGGTGATGAGTGCGCCAAGCTAGTTTTGAATGACAAGTCTCAGCATGGGTTGGACTTGCCAAATGTTTCGGTTTGTTGACCGCCCTTAGGGGCATTTGGAGGCAGGGGAGGTTCTTATACATTTGGAGATTTGGAGGGTTTGGTACTTCTGGCAATTTTGATTGCATCTGAGTTTGGCGATTTTGCATCGCGTTTGAGTTTGGCGGTTTCGATCGCATTTGGATACGTCTGGCGATATGTATCGCGGTTGGGTACATTTGGCAACTTTGGTTGCGTCTGGTACATTTGGTATTTGAGAGAGAATTCAAGTCAAGGTGGAGATTGTAAGAATATGACCTGAATTGATTGGGTTTGTTTTGTGTTTTGGGCCTATTTTGTTTGGGTTTGTGTTTGGGCTTTGTTTGACCTTTTCCTTGTAGGTTTGGAAAATGTGTTTGGTTTTCTGTTTGTGATTAGGAGAAGAGTTCTATAAATACTCTTCATCACCCTAGTCTGTAGTAAGGTCAGTCAGGTTAGTTTGTTTGGTTTGTCGGTTTGGAATTTGGTTTGTAACATGTACTCTCCTCAAATCAGTGAAATTTGTCCCCCCTGCCCGTGGATTAGCTAGCACACATTGTGTTAGTGAACCACGTTAAATTTGTGTTCGTTCGTGTTGGTTTGGATTATCGATTGCACGCTTCTATTCTGACAGATTTGTTAGTTTTATAAACATGAATGTAAATCCATTTTTTTTATTTGTTTAAGCTCATGAGAGTAGGAAGAAATATAGCTACCTAACTCATTTCATTTGAACGAAAAATTATCATTTGTCACTGAATTTCGAGCAAAACAATTTTCTACTTATGAGGGATTCTGATTCTTGAAAAAACTAAAATAATAGGACTATATATGCGCAATTAGGGTATCATTGGATGAGGGTCATGAAAAAGAGAGAGTAAAAATCAATTGGTTCCAGTAACTCCAGTTATAGAGACTATTTGCTTCTTGACATGGTATTATCATCTTTAGGGATGGCAAATTACCCACCTATGGGTAATTATACCCAAACCCAAGTAGACCCATTGATAATGGGTTGGGTATGGGTGAAGTGCATATGGAATTGGGGGTTTATAGATGGGTTTGGGTTTGGGGCTTCCATAATCTAAATGGGTATGGGTTGGATATGGATATCCATTTACTTGAGGGTGTTTTAACTACACATGCAAAAAGTGGACCTATTTGCAAAACTTGAAAAGTTTAGGTACCAAAATGTAAGACTAAAAAAATTTAGGTACCAAAACGTAATTTTCCATCGATATTTTGAGGACTTATATGCAAAAAAAATTAATTTTAGGTACTAAATATGCATGTCTATTAAGTTTGGGTACCAAACTGTAATTTGTATTTGGGCATGGGTACAAACCCAAATCCATTTGATATAAACCCAACTCAACCCAAAGTAAATGGGTATGAGTACAAACCCATCAAACTCTACCCATATCCATCTATTTGGATTTCATACCCAACCCAATTGGGTTGGATAGTAAGAAACCCATGGGTATGGGCAAAGTTGCCATCCCTAATCATCTTCTGTGATCGACATGTTTTCTGTTCAAATTATGGTGATCCTCATTTGTTAAGCACATGATATTCTGAATTTCTAATGCATTTGCAAACTTCAAACCCTTGAGTTGACTTTTGTTTGAGCGAGTGTGTTGATAAGTGGTATATGACCCACATTTAAACATCTTCCAACAACTTTAGTTATTTGAATCAACTAATTCTAGAGAGAGAGAGATAGGTGAAATTAGGGCTGGAAGTTTGGTACCGATATTTGGGATATACCGAATACCGTACTGAATTTGTCTATATTTGGCATTAGCGAATACACGAATTATTTCTTGAAGTTGAGATTCAATTTCAATTGTTATTCGATATTAGGGATTACGGGATTGAGATCTGAATTTACCGAAATACCGAACAGTACCGAAATATAAGCTAGTGTGTAGCTTATCCTCTCAACCAGACTCTCTCATTCACTACTACACTACCCTGAACCACCAATCTATTGTTATTTTCATAACACCAATAAGCAAACACTAGTATTAGTCTCCTCTAAGCCTCCAATTCGTCAAAAAGATTACCAATGACAAAAAGTTGAGATTTCACCTCTACTCGATTCTCCTTATCTATATCATAGCTCTAGTCAAACTCAAAACTCTTTGTTTAGTCTATTTGTCCTATATTAAACAATCAAATCTAATTTATATATTAATTATAAATGGAATTAATTTCGTATTTGATAATACCGATTAGGATACCGAAGTACCGATTGAGATACTGAAATTATTTAGGGATTGAGATTGATTCTAGCATGTAATTCGGTATTCGAAATTTCGATATTTGGTATTGGGATACCGTACCGATTTCCACCTTAGGTGAAATAACTTGTTCAAATTCAAATGGTGGTTGTCATTGCATAGCATCCGCAAAAGGAATATGAAACTTTCAACTAGATCAATTGCAAGAGCAACAAATGAAATTATCAGTCCTAGACAAATTTGATCAAACTTAAGTGAGACTAGCTAGATAGATAGGAAGAAAAGGGCATGCAGGCAAACAAGGACACAATCACACTAACACCCTTTTCGAGAGGGATTTCAGGGATCAAATATTGATGCATGCTGGTTGCTGGACAGCAAAGGGGAAGGAGAAGAGAAGAGAAGAGAGGAGAAGAGAAGAGAGATGCAGCAGATGGGACTACATATACATGTAGCAGGGCAGGGCTAGTTTTTGACCGATAAGTAGTAGGCGAAAAGCAAAAAGCCCAAAGGCCCAAAACGAAAAGTAACAAGAGATAAATAAATAAAAAAAATCAGAGGAAGAATGACTTTTGTTTCTTCTGCTGCCATGCTCTCTGGGAAGTAGAGTTGGAAGCATGCCATTTTGCCATGCTCAAGTCTAATCAACACATATAATTCCTAAAGAAACAAAACCCGAAAAGAATAACGACCCATCTCAATATATTTTATATTATAAATACCTACCTTAAAGAGTTAAAGTTTAAATTATTTTATTATTTCATTTTATATATTCAATTGGACATAATAGTCTTACCAAAAAAATTTGACACAATAATTAGGAGGTCCTCTGATAGTTTTTACGATGCATTAATATGGTTTAGATAATTATTAATACTAAGGTATCTTTTCAGTAGTTCCATGATTTTTCAAGTATAACTAATTTGGATGTTGCACTTTTGTGCGATAATTAAGAACAAAGACACCGATCAGTTTGAAGTCATGTTTGAACATATTGAGAGTTTGGTAAGGTTCATGTTTCTAATTTTTATTCTACATATAACTAGCTAGAGTTTTGTTTAATTTTAAGTCTTTCTTCTTCTTTCTCTACTCTTCTTTCTCTACTCCAACAGACCCTCGATACCAAAGGTAAGATAGTCTAACGGTAAAGCTGCCGCGACAGTGAAAGTTTAGAAGTTGCAGATCCCAGGTTTGAATCCAAGCGATGCCCGTGGTGTTCTCAAAGGTACAAAACTGTTGGCGGCGAAGTCCCGTCACAAAGTGCCACGTGGGTTGATGTTCCTGGGTAGTAATAATAATAATAATAATAATAATAATAATAATAATAATAATAATAATAATATCTTCCACAACCTGAAGTCTAAAAGTGGGTTGTTTGGATTCAAATAATTCACAATGGAGTAATTTGGATGGATCATTTGTCAATGTGGTATTTTTGTGGTATTTCTATTAAAGTTGGGATAAATAATCTTGTTTGGCTAAATCAATATTGACATGTGGTATTTGATGTTCACCATAGCTTGCCCTCGATTGATGGCACCATCTACTCTCTCCATTCCGAGAAATTTACCCCTACCCCATAGCTTGCCCCCATTTTGTTCATCCATAGCTATCGGAAATTCAATCTCCCAAGAGCAAACCATAAAACAAGTCTATGCATCATTCACCACCACTGAACTTAGTTCATAATTGCTGCTAATTCCTCCTCCCCAAAAGCCAACACCCACCATAAAGAATAAACAACTCGCTATTCCCTCTTTCTCGCTCAACAATAAAAAATTTCATGAAGGCGGGTGGCGGTGATCCAAATTCACAAAAAACAAACCAAGAAACACAAAATTCCCCTCCTTTGTTCATGCAAAGGCATAAATTTGGTCAATCCAAACATGCAAATTAGCAGATTCCTCAACCCAGAACTCTTGATGAATTAGCAAGAAGAATATGGGGTAATTTACTAACATCAAACATATAATCTCTGGGCTGAATTAAGAAGAGGCATTCCATGGATTCCTTTCCACTAGAAACTAATATTTTCCTCCTCCGACCAGCATGCATGAATCGATTCACCGCCTTTACAACATAAGTTTTCTCGCTATGAGATGGAGGAGAGTAGAGAGGAATGATAGTAGGAGATTTAAGAAATTCGTCGCCACTCATCGTGATTCCTGACCAGTCTTTAAAACCGACAACTAATTTCTCTCTCGTATTTCCTTTATGTATCATATCCATCTCTATCCCTGTCGTTGCCACAATTCCTGGCCCGTGAACAACCGCGTGCCACTGCGATATCACAGATTCACCGTCGACAAAGCTTGCCACGGTAGGAGAAACAGAGAGAAATTTACAAGAGAACCCAGTGACGTGGTCGCCATCGCATCCTCTCCTTCTCCTTCGCATCCTTGTCGCCACATCCTCATCCTAAAAGAAGACTTTCGTATGCCATTCTTTGTTTCCGATTAACTCTCCTTTGACTTTGATGGTCGCAACCTAGGGTTTCCCATACTCTATTTGATATGCATTCAGAGAGGAAACCAAAAGTAGTAACGAAATCGATTTTGGCTCAATTGATTTTTGGCACCGGACAGAAGAATCATAGGATCGAAGAAAAGAAAAAGAAGGAAGGAGACATGAGAGAGGAGAGGGGCAGAAAAGGGCGAAAAAGAGGGTGGTGCGTTATTTCAGAATACCTCCACCCTCGTGTTATTTGTTATAATGTGTTTTCTTGTTACTCCCAAATGAGGCGGACTCAAGGGGTTGTTTGGATGGATTAATTGTCATGTTGTATTTGTAGAGTCAAATAACTCATTAATTGTTCATGTGGTATTTCAACACTATTTCAGTGATAGTTGGATTAAAGTATCTCGTTTGGTAGAACCATCCAAATGTGGTATTTGGCATGTGGTAGTTGGCAAAAGCATAGTGGTATTTGGAACGTTTTGGGCAACTTTCTGTCGAAGGATTTCCATGAGGTTCACGTGTCTCTTATCAACTAGAGATCACATCTAGTTGGGGAGAATATCTACCCTATATCAATTGCCCATTTCCACGAGTTGATTATGTGTGATTGGTTTCATATACCAAATTTCCCTTTGTCACGAGTTGAGATTGTCTGATTGATTCCATATCTATCTTTATTTTCAAGTGCAAGAAAGGAGAAAACATAAAAAGGTTGAAATAATCATTAAAACTGCGTACTTTGGTAATATCAAGTGGTATCAGGAGCTCGGTTCAAACGCAGCGGCAAAGAAGGAGTTTTTTGAAGTTCTTTATGTGTTCTTGAAGCTTCTTGGGCGAGTTCTTGAAGATCTTGGACGTGTCTTGAAGGTCTTGGAGGAATCTTGAAGTTTGCGAAGAATCTTGTGAGATTCTTGTGTTTCTTGCCAAAGAATCTTTCAAATTTTCAAAGGAGTTACTCGCTTTCTTGGAGTACAAGCATGCACGATCTAGTGAAGCAACTTACTACACAAATAGAGGAAACGTTTCAAGCACAAACCTCACGTTTGGAAACACGGATGAGAGCGTGATGCAATGATCAAAACGAGATTAGGAACATTTGAAACAAGATTGCAAGCACCCCAACCTCGTGCGCATGAAGAATCTCCAAACTATAACCCTAATCCGAATGTTGAAAGGGTTCAAAGGGAAGAAGATCGAGAAGAAAGGAGGGAGAGGGTTGCGCATCAAAATTTGATTGAAAATATAAAGTCATCGAGCTTTGGGAATGCCACAAGCAGCATGGCGAGGACAACCTCGAATCCACGACAAGGAAGAGTCCGATGATGGTGACTATCCTCGTGAAGAAGACAATGACATGAGGGGTAGCAAAGTCACCATTCCATCATTTAAAGGCACAAAAAATCTGGATGCTTACTTCAATTGGGAGAGGAAGATGAAGTTGATCTTTGACTGCCATAACTACTCCGAGAAAAAGAAGGTTCACTTGGCAACTTTAGAGTTCTCAGATTATGGCATGGTATGGTGGGATAACCTTTGTATGAGGAGAAATAGGCAGCGACTTATTGAGACATGGAAGGACATGCAAGGCATCATGATGGACAGATTTGTGCCCAATTACCACCGAAGGGAGGTGAACCAAACGCTCCAACTTCTACAACAAGGTACTAAAAGCGTAGAAGATTATTACTAAGAGATGAAGATGCTGATGATTAGAGAAAATATAGAGGAAGATAGTGAAGCCACCATTGCACGACTCTTGTAGGGTCTCAATCGAGAGATGAGGAATGTGGTGGAGATCCAACATTTTGTTGAGTTGGATGATCTAGTAGCAATGGATGCCAAAGTTGAATGGCAACAATGAAGAAACATAGAAAGAAGGTTCTTACCTCCCTCAAGTGCACCAAGGCCAGGAGTTCCTACTACTTCAAACCCTAGGCCAACCATATCGAAGCCAGAAGCACCAAAATTGCCAGCCAAGGTTGAAGCACCAAGAGATAGACCCGCAAACATTAGTGGAGGCATTCAATGCTTCAAGTGTCATGGAAGAGGACATATGGCCAACCAAATTCCCAACAACAGGGCTCTAATCATATTGGAGAATGGAGAATAAATCTTAGAATCTGAAGAGGAGGAGAAGACAAATTCGGATTCAGATGTTGATGAGTTCATAGAGATGGAGGCACCACCAGGAAGTCTTCTCGTGGTTAGAATAATTTTAAGTGTGCAACCAAAAGAGGAGCTTGAACAACGAGAGAAATTGTTCCATACGAGGTGCATGGTAGATGGAAAGTTGATCTCAATGGTGATTGATGTTGGAAGTTTCACACTAACATTGTAAGTGCAAGTGCGGTTAAGAAGTTGGGATTGAGCACGTTGAAGCATCCCAAGCCATATACGCTTCAGTGGCTCATTGATCATGGAGCCATCAAAGTAAAAAAACAATACCTATTGAAGTTTGAGATTGGAGGATACAAAGACGAGATCCTTTGTGACATGGTGCCTATGAAAGGAGCACATATCTTGCTTTGAAGGCCATGGCATTTTGATAGAAGTGCACATCATGATGGAGTCACCAACAAATACAGATTTTCGCATGGTGGGAAGAAGTTCATGTTGAAACCCCTATCTGCCAAGGATGTATATGAAGACCAACTTCAAATGCAACAAAATAGGGAGTTGTAGAGCAAGCATCCGAGTGCTTCAACAACCCAAAGGAGTGCATAGATGTAACCAATCCTAACATTCCTGAGGGTTTCTTTCACATCAAAGATGTTAAGTGAGAGGAATGGTGGCTTCAAGAGGTGGAGACAAGTCTTCCGCAACATGGGCTGGTAAGGAGGCTGCTGCTGCTGGAATTGGCCCGAGCGGTACTGATACTCCTATCTTTGGTCAGGTCGGCCGCGTGTAGGAGCTTGAAAGCCTGGTAGCTTGGGTTTGTTGTTGCCACCCAAGGGGAAGTTTGTGTGCTGGCGCTACCCCTCATTGTAGGTGTTGCTATAGGGGTCTATGCGCCTGGCGTTGTTTATGAAATTCAGCTGCTCCTGCGGTGTGCTGGACTCTCGCATGGCATGACAGTCTCACACCATGTGATTGATGCTCTCGCACCATTGGCAGTACATCACTTGTGGCTGGCCTATGCCTGTAATCATTCCGTTAGGCCCATTTCCGTAACCAGCTTAGAAACCACATCCATAAGAGCAGATGACTGACTATCCATGGCATGCACCCCTCGGTTGGAGCTCGCCGGGATCTCTTTGCAGACCCCTAATCATACCCTTGATCCACCATTCCTTCAAAGAGATGGTTCAACTATGGTGGCATCTTGGTAAGCATGTTCCCGCCACTGATTGAGTCAATCTGCTGCTTGTCTTTGGGAAAGAGAGCCCCATATAAGGTGACCACCTTGAAAGCATCATTGAACCCATGGTTGGGGCACTTCAGGAAGAGACCTGAGTATCTCTCCCAAGCATCCCGGTCCCGGAGAGTCTCATCCTCCTCCTGCACAAAATGGGTGATCTCCTTCTGTAGATTCACTATTTTAGATGGAGGACAGTAGCGGGTCAGGAACTTATTGGCCATGTCGGTCCATGTGGTGATTGACCTTGGAGCTCAGTTTTCCAGCTATGTCTTAGCCTGTCCCTCAAGAGTGAATGGGAAATAACGTAGCTTGATGGCTTCTAGAGGGACCTATTGATCTTAATCCCATCAATCAGCTCGTGGAACTGCCGCAAGTGCTCGTGTGGGCACTCGCCTTTCCTCCCATGGAAGACCATAGAGCCATTCAACATTGTGACGATAGAGGTCTTCACCTTAAAGTTGTTAGCATCAACTTGACGATGTTGGATGCTTGACCTCGGATCCTTGGTCATGGGGGTCTAGTAGTACCCCATTGTCCGCTCCTCGGGCGGATCTCACACATTCCAAACTACATTATTGTTTTGGGATAATACCACTAGGAAACCCGAACTATTAAGAATGTGTCATTTGTGTCATAAAGTATCTAATATGACATTTGTGTCCTAAACTATTTTTTCGTCAGAGTTGATCGACGTTGACCGTTAGGATTTAACAAATGACGCATTCTTAATAGTTCGGGTTAGGACATAAATGACACAAAATTATAATAGGTTGGGACATAAATGACACAAAACTATAATAGGTTGGGACACAAATGACACATTTTTAATAGGTTGGGTCTCCTAGTGGTATTAGCCCTATTGTTTTCACCCATTTCTTCCAGTTTGCTATCTGATCCTTCAGCTACAACAACCTTGTCCAAGTCCTCCTCCGTATCCTGTCTCGATTTGAGCAATTTGAGATGGTGACATGTGCGGTCAATTGGAGGGTCCAGAGGTAGTAGATATCCCTTCTGGCTACGGGTCATGCACTACCTGCACACAGACTGAAAACACAACGCATGAAGGCAAACAAGTGGAGAAGAGAAAATGTAGAAAAGTAAATGCTAAAGTAACGGAATTTTATGTTTCTGCAATAACCTAGCAGTCACCGGGAATGACGCCAAAAACTTGACTCGCTAAATAACAACACCAAACTATGACCAAGTGTAATTGCAGTATGGGAATGCAGTATAGTGGGTTGTGTTTTGCTTGTCAATCTGAACACAAGATTTACTGTCTACTCCGTGAATATCTATTATATATCGATTCAGTTCGAGTGAAATTTATCAAAAGCAAAAGCAAAAGCAAACATAAAGCAAGTAACGGTTGTATTCAAAATAAGAAGGCTTACTCAGGTACGAGTCCCCCTAGATCGCAGTTAGGCCAAGTTGTAGTTCACCTAAGTTAGATCGATGGATGTTTAAACTGCAGAAATTTCTCAAATGGTATGGAGTCTCGACTAAAGTGCTCCAGACCCTCTCAGTTTGAATTGCTGGCGGGAGACTAACCTCCACCAGTATAAGCTAACTAAGGCAATAAGATTCAAATTCCTCTACTCGGTTCTCCACCAGTACAGAGCAATGAATCGACTTCTCGACTAAAGTCAACGATTCACTACCTCCAATTCAAGATGCTCTATTGAGCTATGCAGAGATTATCGTTCTATGTCAAAGTAGGAATCACTAGAATTTGATCAAGACTCAAGCAATTCTGAATCAATACTTCAATTGGATAGAAATCATTCAATCATTCATGGCAAAGGGTTCTTACAACTCTTCCTAACATACTATCTAGGATTCTTACATACCCAAGTGATAGAGGGGATTACTCCATAGAGAGAGTGGAAAGTTATGCCAGATGTAGAAATCATCATGTAGACGGAAGAAATTTGCTCCGAGTCGTTAACCGTCACTCCTCGAGGCTTGAATCAAGCTCCAATGGTGGGGAGACTTGATCTAGGGCGCTATAGGTTCTCTTTTCGTCACTTTTTCTCTTTAAACTTGTATTTTCAGCTCCAAGAATCTAATGGCAACCAAATTCCCGTGTTCAGCTTGTAACAGCCCGAGTTGGGCATACCCGGTCTAAATAACCGGTCGGGTATTTGGAGGCCCGACTAGGGTTTTATCCAAAATGGCGCGCAACACATGGTCAATGAGGGACAAATACCCGACCTCGAGGTAAAATACCTGATTGGGTATTAGAGCTCCACGACCAGGGGGTCTCCTAGACGTTTTACCCGACTTTCTATGATTATACCCAATCGGGTATTTGGATGGCCTGACCGAGTAATCTGTCTTCCAGCTCCACTTCTCGCCCACTCTCCACTTTGGACCCGAAACTAGCTCCCAAGCCTCCATTTCCGCTCCAGGTGCTGAAATACGACACAAAAGCACAACCAAGTGTGAAATCGGCTTAATACATGAGAATTGAAACTTAAACAGTGCAAGAATGGTGGGCAAAACATGTTAAAATATCTAGTTATTAGTTCCCAACAAGTAGTTATGGATAGAGAATGGAACATTGATGAGGTTGTGAGGAAGGAAGAAGAGCGTGATGAAGAAGAGCTTCGTACTCAACACAGGGAAGATTTTTCAGAAGATAGAGGGGAGGTTGAAGATGAAATTGGAGTCCAATCAATGGACAAGGTTGAGATGCATGAAGCTTCAACAAGTCACCCGTGCTACCAAAGCTTTCAACTCAACCTTGATGCACTTTTTGAGAAGGACCCTTTTGCAGTCTCTTTTCGCCAAACCGAGGCCACACCATCACTAGTCACTCTTCGTGGATTCAATGATGGTCAATCAAGGTTGCATTACATGGTAAGGGTAAAAGAGAAGAATGAAGAAAGACAAAGAGGTCTCTTGGGTGGAGAGTGGAGACTAACATTTCACCAAGTCCACGGGTCATCCACAACATTTGAAGCATCCAAAGCTCAATTACACAACTTCACCAAAGAGAACCTCAAATTCAAAGAGGTCTTAATTTGGACCTAATACTTGAATATACTCATCCGACGACAAGACGTAAAATACGCACTTGTTGGGAGGTACCCCAACAACCAGTTTGCATTTCCTTTACCTTATTCAATAATAAAACTTGCATGTTTGATTTTTGATTTAGGTAGTTCTTATAGTATTAGCTAGTGAATGAATCCCTTCTATGTCAATAATTGCATGAATGATTGTTTGAAGACTAACTAGTTGCTTAAGAAATGATTAAAAGTGTTGTTGCTAAGCATGTTGTGCTAGCCTACCAAGTAAGCTACTTAGGGTTAGAGAATGGGATGGCTAGTGCAATAGGATCATAGAATGTATGCTTATGAATTTGTATGCGTGTTTGGAGGCATTGGTGGGCTTGATCTTTATGAATTTGTGGAGTTTGAATGTCGCCCACTAAGTGCTCGATGAAATGCCCAAACCACATAAAACTTGTTTTCTTGATCCAATGTTTTTCAATTGAAATTATTGGACTAAGATAGACCCTTAGAGTATGTTTATGACATAATATTGAATCCTTGATGCATGAACCTTGAGTTTGCAACTTCAGCTTACCTTTGATTTTGTGCTTCGATATGCTGTTGGAGCCATTAGTTCAAACTTTGGTTGTTATCTAATGAGTTGATTCTAGCCTTCAGACAAGGTACATAAACCTCTAGAAATATACGATACGCTTGATATCATGCATTTAGGTCTCAACCCTAATCATTATAACATGCATTTTTGCCTATGCACCTCTTGTTTCTACATTGTAACACTTAAGTGTGGGGGTGTGTAGAGTGAACCTAAGGATGAGTTTTGTAGTTCAATTAATCAAGTGAATTACCTAATGGTTTGTTAGAACATGTTTTGTGATTTTTATCTTTGTTAGCAATCCAACCAAGCGTAAGAGGTTCATTCCTCTTAGCCCTCAACAACGAAGCAACCGGAATCGCCAGTGATAAGAAGAACCACAAGTCCCAAGAGGAGAACCATGACCTCAAATTGAGGAGCAACCACAACAACTACAACAAAGTAACCAAAGGAGGCCATTGTGGACTATGATGAGTCCTCTTCATAAGAAAGAGCCTTCGAAGTGAAACTACAATATGCTCCAACCGTACATCAAGACAACTTGGCATTTGAGGGCTAATTTTTATCTTTATTTATATTTTTAAATGCTTAGTATAAGTAGTAAATGAAATGTTTTTGGTAGATAGTATATATATTTTGTGTTTGGATAAGCCTTTCTTCCTCTCTTGTGTTTGTGCTTGAATGTCGAATCTGTAGATCAATAAAGACTTGCACATTGAGTTCCATTTTTCCCTCGACTACATCAACCCCCAATGGTAATGATTCGAAAACCTAACCTAGAACTCTCACATTGAGGATAATGTGTCTCTCAAGTGTGGGTGTGTCATTCGTGAATGTTTGCCAGGTCGATTGATAACTTCCCTTAATGATGAATGTAAGACGTTTGTGATTGCATGTGTGAATGTGGTTGATTGACTGAATGGTTTGATGTAATTGTATGCCCGGTTTTTTTCAAATTTGAGGGTTCCAAGTAAGCCCTTTACCATGTTGCGTGAACACTTGCTATGAATCTTCGAATCTTTGTCTCATTTTCTCGACCAATGTTAAGGTCTATAGTGCATGCTTTGCTTGGGGAGATAGATTCGTGCATGATTCTTCGATGTATCAGAGTGTGCATGTTTGAAAAATGACCGTGGGACATATTTGCATTTTGAGAAAACCCTTATTCTCCAAGCTAGGCCATTAGAAAGGTGCTCGGTTTAGTGCTTTCTCGCATACAAAGAGAGAGAGAGAGAGAGAGAGAGAGAGAGAGAGAGAGAGAGAAAAAAGAAACAAAGAGAGAGAATAAAGTGGGGTGTAACATCTAATGCAATATGTTGTGGCAACCCGTCCTAGAGTAATGAGAGTGCATTTCATGACAATGCACATGGAAGATCGAATAACTTTGCCGTATCCATTTTCATCTTTTCACTACTTCCATTCTTCCATGTACGTCCCCTCATGGGCCGAGGTCTAGGTAGGAGAATCCATCCCTACTTTCCCGGCTAACAAGCACAAAATAATAAGTGCCTAAGTGCACATGCTCATCTAAAGATTAATGGCTACTCGAATAAAAACCCCCAAAGTGAGACTCTAGATAGGAATAAAAGGTTGTCGAGAAAGTGAAGAAAAGGACTGTGTGAACATCGATCCTTTCACCTACCTTTGAGAGTTCTGTTTTTCTCCTTGCGTTTGTCTCCTTTCATTTCAGGACATGCTTTCTAGGATTTTTCAAATCGAACCAAGCAACGGTGGAGGTAACCAAGCGAAGCTAGTCAATAGAATCCCAACTTCGACAAAATACTTCAGGGGAAGAGACATAAGAGGCTTCAAGTTGCCTAATTTGATAATGTGTTTGCTTGGGGACAAGCAAACTCCTAAGTTTGGGGGGGGGGGGGGGTTGCCATTGTTGCTTGTATGCTCTGATGGTGCGAGAAGAAAGCGCAAGGAAGGAGAAGGAAAATCATTTGGGAAGGAGGAGGGCATTTGTTTGCTGTCGTCTAGTGTAATGAAGTGTCTAGAAGTTGGTAGGACTTCTTAGTCCCTGATATGGAATTGGATGGATGCACCATAGTAGGTGGGCTTAATAATTTCTATTATTGTGTGCTTTTTATTGTAGGTTGAGCCTGCTAGTGGTATTGGATGCAAAATTTTGTGAATCTTTTATTATAATTGAAAAACAATTGAACGCGTTGTTTGGTAGAAGGTAATTATTAATACTTTTATTATATATTATATACTAATTAGGTTATAAAAATAATTTAAATTAATAAAATAATGGCGCTCTATTCACGCTCTCAATATTGAATTCTTCTAAAACTAGCACTCTCTCGCTCTCGCTCCACGAATTGGTTACCTAAGTTTAAACCCCTAAACCCTAGATCTAGATTCTGAATGTAGATGTAATTATGTTAGGGTTTGTGAATGGATATGTTTGTTTTAGTGAATATTGCTTCATTTGTGCTTAATTATGCTTGGTAAGTCACCCAACTCTTCCCTACTATCCTACAACTAAGTTAACACTAGGTGAATCGTCGTTGCCCACTACGCATGAGGCTCCTCGATAGCGTCCCATTTCTTCAGCTAGAAATCGCGGGAAAGTTAAAGAAAGGGGATTTGGGAATTGAGGGGAAAACCTCTGCGGGAATTGCTGCGAGTCAAAAGATTATGATCTCTCAGATTGGGAATTCGTTGAAGGGGTCGTTTGGACGGGGGATTGTAGCGTCCCGGATTTCATTACAATCTTGTGTTTGCCGATGTAAAAAAAAGAGGGATTTTTTCCATAAAGAAATTCGAAATCTTGCATTTGCGCTATTTTAAAATAGGGTTATAGGTATAAGATGCCTCTCTACTATATTGTTTTTATCAAACATGACCCTCTACTATTTTTTACATCAAACTTGCCCCTATATTTTGGAAAAATTATCAAACATGTCCTTATGTTTAATTTTCACTAAATAATGGTCAACCACGATTGAAAAATTATCAAACATGCCTTATCAAACATGCCCTATATTTTGAAAAAATTATCAAACATGCCCTTATCAAACATGCCCTTATTTCTCTAGGTCTTGTTAAAAGAGAAATTATTAGATGTATTTGGTTATACAAAAGAAACAAAACAATTCTAAAGTGAAATTCTTAGAAATATTTTAGACATTTTTGTCCTTCAAATTAAGGTCCAACCATGGTTGACGGGTGTTTAAAATAAATTTTAATATAAAAACATGTTTGATGTAAACAATAATAGAGAGACATGTTTAATAAAAACTATATAGTAGACCTATCTATCTATCTATCTATAAAAAATATGAAAGGGTTACTCCAAGAATGCTTCCCCGCAAAGTTCCGTACAATATCAATTTTTTTTTATCTTTTGTATTTCATAGCAACTGCTTCATCTTTCCTTTTAAATGGCGACAATTTTTTTCCACGATTTCTTTTTTGTTTTGGGTATTGATACCATGGAACAGAAGTACAATGATTAATTTTTCTTCTTCTTTTCTCTGATATCTCGCATATCACAAGGGAATCTTCCAATCCCGACTTCGATCCCTCCCTCTCCTACCTTATCCTCCAGCCGCTCCGGCAACTCCAAAAATCTTCCGCTGCTAATCATACTTCTTGAATTCAATTGTAATTAGGCTTCTTCTCCAACGACGACGGTTGGATCTCTGATCGCTCTTCAGTCTCAAAGCGCATGCACCGTTTCTTCAGCCAGATGGGACTCTCTCCGAGGAGGAGTCTTCTTTCTTATCCCGTTGCCAACCTGCAAGTTTGTAGATTTGAACTTTCCTTCCTCAGTCTACGCCGATTATTTCCCGCCCAACCGCTTTGCCTTCAAGGAATGTTGCTGGGGTTTGTTGCTCTTTGTTCTTTTGTTTTAGGTTTCTCTACACTGGAACAACACCAATGGCTTATGAATGTGTTTATTTAATATAGTTGATGAATTAAAATGTAATTTGGAAATGGGAATTTGACATCACGTTCTATATATTTGTGACATATATGGTTTAAAGAAAGCTTCTTAAACCATTTTTTAATTCAAATTTTCAATGCTTAATATGTTTTGCTATAAATTATTTTGATGTATTATTAATTAATAGTTACACATCATGATTTTTATTGTATAGATATTATATTATAGATTGATTGACTCATATAAAATGTAATAGTTTTGGCCTATGCATGATATGTTTGCTGAAGTGAGTATGATATCAGCATTTCCTCCATGATTTAGGTTGCTAAGTTTATGGGGACTTTTTACTAATTTTAGCTAAAATATCGTTATAATCAATATCAAAATAATAATAAAAATGATATTCCATATATATTTATAAATTACTTTGAAAAAGATTTAAAATACTACCTGCCCAAAGGGCAGGGTTGAAGGCTTGAAGCTAGTAACAGTTTAAGTCACTTTTTGTCCGCTTATCCCTAAAATATCCCCGCCATTTTATTGTCAATTTTTTTTGCTCCAGCCACATTGTGAACGTCCTCCTGTCTACTTCGCTCTCTCCAACACAACTGAAGCGACGGACGACCAAGAACCGCAGTCCAACTCTTCAACCGACGAACGGCCAGGTAAGAGGGAAGAGGGAGGACGAGCCCAGCCCCGCGACGGTCGCCTGCAAGGACATCGGCGAGAGAGTTCCAGGTTAGTTTGCTTGTCTTGTGATGGGGATTAATGGGTTTTAGCTTTCTAATTTTCGGGATGGTTATGGCCTGATTACTAGGGTTTTGGGGCTTGCGTTCTTTCTCTATGAGGTTGCAGAATTATGGCTTTAGGAATTTCGTAGGCTGCGGGTTTGGGATTTTGCTTCCGATGAGTTGCCTGTGTGTGTGAATTTTTGGTTTTCCCTTGGTTCTGATGAGTGCCATGTGTATGTGAATGTGAATGGATGGAATATGTTATCTGGTCTTTGCTTCACGTTTTGGTGTGCTTTGTGTAATGGATTTTTGGGTTTTTATTCTTGTTTGTGGTTGCTATCAAGGCTGGTTAGATAGGTACCTGATTAGATTAACATTATGCAAATGTTTGATAACTTGTATGTATTGTATACAATGGTTGCTTTCAAGGCTCGTTAGATTAATAAAATTGAAGCTTTATGCATTTGAAAAAGGATGTCAAGGCTGTCATTGATGTTTTCAAGGGAAAGGCGCAAGATGATTTCTGCAATTGGCACATTTTGGAACCCTATAGTAATATATGGTGAGTTAGGAATGGAAGTAACGAGGCTATTAGAAGCCGAAACAGTTAAACTGTAGAATTGGTAGGCAACCTCTGGATGGTTACATAGTGAGACACTATCAGTGGCGGATCCAGGGGGTGGCCACCCCGAGCCCCGGCCCAGCCTTCTTTTGGATCCGGCATTAGTGTAGTCCTTATGAATTTTTCAATATTAGACATCCGGCTCAGTGTTATTTTATAATAAGATTGGGTATAACTAGGAAAATAATTTAAACTAACATTTTCCAATCATTATTCTATTTAGACTAGAAATTCTAGCCCCAAAGATAGTTCGTCTAAAAAAACAACGAAATCTGAAAGTCTAAAACGTAAAAGACTAGAAGAAATATGAGGTTTTTCCCTTGAAAATTTACTAGAGTAGTTGGTGAATCTAGGGATGGACACACAATGCACGATTGATTTGTCTAGTGTTGACGCTGCTCGTTTCAACAGCTTCTACCGGGAGAACTTTTTCAAAAAAATGAAACATAAAATGAGCGATGAATTTCTCGCCGATTGCTCAAGTATTTTATTTGAAACAGTTTATATTATTGGTATGGACGTGGACTCCATTATTGTTGCATTCGCTAAATTAAAATACGATAGTCTACAATTTATATTTCAAAAAATAATCATTATATTTGTTTACGGTTTTAATTTTTTAATGAAATGCGGCCCACTGCTCTTCTGAGTTCTAGATCCGCCGCTGGACACTATGATACGCAGAAGGAGATTCATCTGCACGAGAAGTAGTGACACAGAGTCATAGAAGGATTAGGATGAACTGTAGCTAGAGGGTCAGTTGAAAAGGACGAGAAATGTTGACATAGATGAAATGGTTCTCACTTTTCTACTCATTATTGCCCATAACGACAAAAATAGGAGTATAGCTGTTGATTTGCGTACCTAGTGAGACCAACAAGCAGTGCAACATGAAACGTACCTATAGAGAGACGGCTTGTTGAAATGATGTGCCCAATCGGTTTCACCCAAATTGAACTTGTTCAAGTAGTGGCTTTAACCTAGAGCTAGTTTGAGAGATACTGCTGCCTTTGCTTTCCTGTAATTTCGTTCATCTAGATGCTTGCTGCATTGTAGGAAAATGGTGGGACTTTCGCTGGGGGAGAAGCATTTCATTAAGGGGGGCATCGATCAGAACATCCGTAGTGATGGCCGGAAGAGAGACTATTACAGGCCGATTTTTGTCAAAACTGGTGTAATTCCTCAGGTAATAGCTTAAATGTAGCTTCATGGATTTTTTAATATATATTTGATCTTCCCCTTTTGTGGATGTTTGATCTTGTTTTGATTTATTGATAGGCAAATGGCTCTGCTCGTGTTCGAATGGGGGCAACTGAAGTTATTGCCAGTGTGAAGGTAGTTCAAAAACAGGTTTCTTAGCTTTACCCCGTTCTTCCTTGTTTTCAGTCTGATTTAAGGTTTGAGTGATTACTATTATGCAGGCAGAGCTCGGAAAGCCAAGTGCTTTGCACCCTGACAAAGGCAAAGTCGCCATATTCGTTGATTGTAGTGCTGTTGCTGAACCGACATTCGAGGTTTTCTATTTCAGCTCTTGGCATTTCTTATTCTTCAGTACTTCAATGTCGTTTCAAGAGTTGATTCATATGTGCAAGTGTAATCCAGGGAAGAGGGGCCGAGGAGTTATCGGCTGAACTGTCAGTTGCCCTTGAACGCTGCCTCTTAGGTGGCACAAGTGGAGCAGGTTTTTGCTCTTCCTGAAGTCATAGGCTGATTTGTAATTTTAATGGCACTACTCCATAGATTGTTGATCATCCAAGTGGGTTGATCTTGTTGCAGGTGCAGGAATCGATTTGACTTCCTTGATTGTAGCAGAAGGAAAGATTTGTTGGGATCTGTATATCGACAGCCTTGTCATTAGTTCTGATGGGAATCTACTTGATGCCTTAGGTGCTTCCATTAAGGTACCCTATGACGATCCACTAGATGCTTGATGTTTTTTTTTTTTTCATTGTAGTTCTATAGCTCAAAGTTGATGAATCCAACTCAAGCAAGTTAATAAATGGGTTATAGGTATAATATGTCCCTTTACTATGTTGTTTTATCAAACATGCCCCTCTACTATTTTTAACGTCAAACATGCCCTTGTACTTTGAGAAAATGATCATACATGCCCTTATGCTAAAAATTTTAGCCAAAAACAGTCAACCACGGTCGAACCTTGGTTTGGGCGACACAAATGTTTAAAATTTCTCTAATAATTTAACTTTATAATTTTCTTTTTGGTTTTTTATAGCCAAATACCACTAATAATTTCACTTTAACGGGACCTAGAGAAATAAATCAGGGGATAAAACTGACATTTTCCCTATCATTTGCTGATGTCGGGTGGTCTAAATCTTGGATCAACCATGGTTGACAATTTTTTAATGAAAAGTTTAACAAAAGGACATATTTGATAATATTTCCAAAGTACAGGGTCATGTTTGATGTAAAAAATAGTAAAGGAGCATGTTTGATAAAAGAACATAATAGAGGGACATATTATACCTATAACCCTTAATAAATCGGTTATAGACTTATAGTTAGCCGTCTAGCTTGTTTAGGTTCCATATTCTATACATATTGGATGGAGACCTTTACGGATAAGTTTGTAAAGATTTCAATGGTTGAAGGGCATGTGAGTACAGGTTTTTTCTTATGGCATGAGTTCAGCTTTTTAGTGCAGGGTCGCATTTCATCGATTTTCCGAGTGACATAAAATAAGTCACCAATACGTAAATAAATAAGTTGGTGACTTATTTGAATGCTCTTGTGATGGTTTGCTTATAAAACTCCCTAAGGCTGCCTTGGCTAATACCGCCATCCCGAAAGTCAACATCTCAGCTGCTGCATCAGCAGATGAACAGCCGGAGGTGGACATAAGCGACGAAGAGTTTCTACAATTTGATACTTCTGCAGTCCCTGTAATAATCACGCTAACACAGGTAATGATGTATTTTCTGATTCGTTTAGTCTGTAATGTTGAATCACTTGTTTATGTTCCAACTCAAACTTTGACTCTATTTTAGGTAGGGAGGCACTATATTGTGGACGCAACATCAGAGGAGGAACCCCACATGAGCTCTGCGGTTTCCATTTCCGTCAATCGTAAAGGGCACGTTTGCGGGTTGACCAAGCGAGGAGGTGAAGGCCTTGATCCCAGCGTTGTTTCTGATATGATTTCGGTTGCTCAACACTTGAGCGAACTGCTGATGAGCAGATTGGATTCTGAAATCTCAGCAGCAGAGGCCGAAATTGGAGACGACGAAGAATCGTGATGCTGACGAGACTTCGAGAACCAGTTTTGACATTTAGTTATCTAATGATCATTTTTAAGATTGCTGTACTTCGAGAACCAAAGTTAAACTGTTTTCTATGGGCAAAATTGTCCATTTTGGTCCAGTATCTGATCACATTCATCCGTGCAGATTATTGTCAGTGGTTAGCACATGTCAACAACTATCTCATCTCAAGCCAAGTTTAATCAAAAATGGCGTTGTCGTATAGTGACAATCAATGTCGTATTCACTCGGTTCCTGATACCCTAGCCTACTTCCCACGTTATTGTTATCTAACCGATCGGTTTAAGGGGTTTGTGTTGGAGGATATGAGCGAACTAATTAGTCTAGAGATCAAATAAAGATAAAAGCAGGTACTTCGGCGAACTATACCTCACCTTAACTTTGGACTACTATGAAATGTCTAGATACTTATGTTTTGTCGAATGTGGTGAGTGAGCTTTTTTCTGTAGGCTTTCGTAGGGGTGTTGAAACGGTGTGGTTACCGTGGTAACCGTTTTAACCGGTAGTATTTGGCTAATTTGGTTTGGTTAATTTGGATAATTGGTTTGGTTTGGTTAAACTTTTTAGTTTTGGTTAGTTGATTTGGTTTCGGACACTCCTAACCAATCAAACCAAATTAAATAGTTAAGTAATTACCTATATATCTAATATATATATATTTAATGCTTTGCATAACCACTGAATAGTCAAATGTAAGATAATTGTATTAGTTACATGTATTTATGTTAAGGCCTAACTATAATTTTGTGTTGATTGTTATGTGATGTTCATTATATAAACTGCGAATTAATGCACTAACCGAAAATTTTCGCACTTAGTGATAATGAGATGGTATATTGGTTATCTTGGTTAACCAATTAACCAAACTGATTAAACTTTAGTTTGGTTAATTTGGTTGTTGTATTAGTTTGGACGGTTTGGTTATGATATTGTATTGCATGGTTAATAGAATTTAGGCTTATTTGGTTTGGTAATTACCATGGTAACCATTTGAACACCCCTAGGCTTTCGTGGTTATCCACACTTCTCTGAGAAAGCCTCCCCTAAATTCATGTAAGTCACCTCAATCTAGACTATCGTATCTGGGTCATTAAAAACATAGCTCCTTTCAATGGTTACTACTCACCGTCCACACCGAGATTTCATCCCGGGTTCTATCTAGAAAGGCATTCCTATGGCAGGGGTTCGGTCGCCTTGTCCACCATAGGATCCTATTCATACATCTAACCTCAATTTGCTTGATGGCGCATACCTGTCTAACCCTAAAACTCCATACCCAGAGTAAAAGCTAAAGTAGGCTCGTAGAGAAGATTAGGGCGACTTACCAAAAAAAAATCAAAGCTAGAAAAGCATTAAAATCAACTAGATAAACACATTCATTCATTTAAACTCTAAAACTAGGGTTTGAAGTTTCGAACCCCTAGTATCTTATAGGACTACTCCATAAAGGAGGGAAAAAGATACATAGAAGAGGTGGAAGATTAATGTTGAAGAAGATGGCTCATCTCTTCTAAATCTTCTCTTTCTTATCCTCTTCTCCCTCCTTCCGCTTCTCTCTCTTCTCTCTCTAAAATCAAAAATTATAACCCAAAATTAGCTCTCTTGAATGGGGAAAAGGGTCTTCTATTTATAGGCATCAGAGAACGGAGAAGTTTGCGGTCAGGAAGGGCAGAGATCGCGGCCACAATCTTCTTCATGGAGGCTGCGATCTTGCAACGCTGCCGTTTTGACCTTCGGAGACGAGGAGTTCGCGGGCTGACTTCGTGGTCGCGATCCACGAGTCGCGACCGCGGACTTCGTCGCGGACTTTTTGCACTATGGTCATGCTCTGACGGGGGAAACTCTATGTTTCTCCTCGGCTGCTTCTTCACGAAGTTCGTGCCCTGAGCCTTCAGATTCGCGGCCGCGATGTAGGGCTTCCAGGCCGCAATCTTCGCCCTGATTTCGCAGGCTGTGATCTCCATCTCGAGTTCGTGATCTTCAGTCTTATGCCCCTTTTTGCTACACTTGTGTCCTTTTTTTGTACCTAATTCGCATGTAATCCAAAGAACCTTAAAATCACATCGAAATCAAATAGGAACGAAATATGGATGCAATTGACGTTGTTCAAACAATTATGCACATGAATTAGCATGAAACAAACCTTAATATGAAGAGTAATTAACACCAATTTAGGTGTTATCAAACTCCCCCACACTTAGGGGTTTGCTTGTCCCCAAGCAAACCTACTCAAACCAATGAAACTTGATAAACAAATTAAGGTGGGCGCACTCTAGTTCTTCATTGCATAAAGAAGAGTAGACGGAGACGAGAAAACGTTACTATCATCTTACTGTGCAAGGACAAACTCTCGAGTGAGGACCATACTTACTACCTTAGGCCGGACATTCAAATTGTGCACCGGGGATTTCTCAAATAACAAATAAGCACAAGAACTCTTGAAGGTGCTCTTTATTCTCTTTGATTTAGGAGTTGTCGTTTATTGGTCTCCTTTTTCGATGTTGACGCACATAGCACCAAACTTTTGCAAATACTTTTGCAAACAAGCATCTCTCCCTCATGAGACCAAGAGCGGATGAATCATAACCTTCTCTTTCAAGGTCACATGTGGGGAAGTTAATGGACGGATTCATCTTAGCCCAAGCACAGCTTCCCAGTTTGCACTCCACATTTGGTTGCCACACATGTCGGGTACAAACGACAGCTTTGAGATCTCATGAATCGCTAAAAAAGTACTTTTTACTTTGGCATACGATTCTGTGAGGAGGAAAGATGTTTGGGGGATGGTAAGTAGTAATAGATGGTCGGTACGCGGTAAAGCTATCCGATCCCCAAACATATCATTAAAGGGCACCCCGAATCCGTGAGGGTTGGTTTCCTCTCACGTGAGAACCTCATTTTCAAAAGACTTTTCTCTCTTTTCTTTCTTTTCCAATACGCACAAATTTGCAAAAGCTTCGAGTTCAACAACAACTATAGAGAATCCCACACACATGTTCTTCCGAAAATAGCAAACACTATCAAATCACAAAAGAGGAAGAAGATAGTAAAATCCCTCGTAAACGGGTACTCTAATCATGCAACTATCCCCTAGCGAGCATAACACATCAATCATCTATCAATTCAAAGCAGATTAAATAGGGAGTTGCAAGGAATAAGGTGATTTGGAACCCTCATTCATAAGGGAGGATACTAGTAATGCATGGTTCAATCATCTATCAATTCATACACTCACATATGCATTTATCAATGTCTTACATTCATAAGGGAGGATACTAGTAATTCATGGTTCAATCAATCATGATAATCATTCAAACATTCAACCCCCCCCCCCCCACCCACTTGATAAACATTGTCCTCAATATGGGAGTTTCATAAGAGAAGATCATGAAGGTTACCATAGTTGGGTTGTGGGTTGGTGAAGGTACATAAGTGTATGTCTTTGTCTTCTTGGTGGTTTTCACAATGATAAAGCATAAGAAAGAGATGAAGACGATTAAAAGTTATAGGTACGATAGATATATAATATAAGTACAAATACTACTAGTGCTAGAATATTTAAAGTACGAAAAGTAAAACTAAAATAAAGCAATAAACATTGTTTTAATTGAAAGAAATGAGAAGCAAAGAAAAAGAAAAGATAGAACTTAGGCCCCAGATGCCTAGTACTCAATCCTCCTCAGAGGATCCTTCTTCTTCTTCTTCTTCTTCTTCTTCTTCTTCTTCTTCTTCTTCTTGGGGTGGTGCAAGGTGAGTGGAGAGATCAAGTTTGGGCGATACATCTTCGATCAAAATTTCCATCTTCTTCATAATAGCATGGATGCATGCCATGATGTGGAGTCGCGCTTCCTTCTCCCTCCTTTGATTGTGAAGGATCACCGCTATCATTGCTTTGAATCGGTAGTCCCTGGCATTGTTGAGTGGTGGGGGAACCGGTTGAGAAGTGGGTAGAGGCACCTCTCATCCCTCACATATGCTCTCCACTTGATCTTCCTCGGTTTCAAGTCCTCTTCGTTCTCTTGCCACCTTAGCTTCCGGAAGACGGTACCCTCCATGTCCAACATGTTAGTGGTTGGAAATGGAAGTCCCTATACTTTCCAAATGCTATCGTCATTCATATGTAGAACTTTGATTTTCGACTTCAAAACTTCAAAGGATATATGAGTGGTCCTACTATCCAACCGAAATTGCATGGCCCCAAAGTCGATGGTTCATTTCATAAAGCTTGAGATTGACAAGATAGCCAAACTGAGATAAAGTGATCGAGGTAGTTGCATACTATGGAAAAAGGTTGCGTCTCGGGCAGTAAAATTGCATTGGTCTGGTTCTTTCCACCCACGGACCTAGCAATCACGTAGTGAATGAGCCACCACTCCGGTTTCACCTCACTAGCTTTTGACAGCTTGACATCCCATGGTCAACTTACGGATTTCTTTACTTCGGATTTATAGAAGGACTTGAAACATGGAAAGTCAGATTCCCTTGTCAAGGTAGCAAAAGCATCCGGTGAGTGGACGAAATCCACCGTGTAAATATCCATGGCTCTTGTAAATTCTCGGATCGACAGTTGGTGATGTTCTCCTCCTTGTTGGAATTGGATGTTGTCTTCAAGGTCGGAAGCACCTCTCATATCTTGAATGGTAAGAATACTAATGAACTCCATAACAAGTACCCGATAAATATTTTCTTGAATGGATAGCAAATTAAGCCATTCTGACTTCTGAATCTTGGATCAGATTGTATCCTCGATACTAAGTTGTGCGAAAAGTATCCAGCTGAGACATGTACTCTTGCCTAGAGGAAGTCATTGAAGCCACAAAAGTTTGGTCTTAAATTTCTTGGGGGCACGTTCCAAGAAGTAGTGAGTGATGTGTTCTATGCCAACTCCGACATTGGCTCGATAATCTTGAAGAATTTCCCTTGATAGATGTCGGGGAAGTGATGGTGGATGTGGTTATTCAACAACTACTTCCTTTGAACAGGATTTTCTTGTTTTCTTCTGATGGCCTTGTTGAGGATTAGAGGTACGAGAAGAGGAACTCTCACCACGAGCCATTCCTTTAATCTTGTATATTATCCTTCAAACAAGTAGTACATAATGCACAAACCATTAATCCAAGCATCACATATCATAAGGATAATTTTCAATGAATTAACATAAAATCTCTAATTTCCCCCCAACACATGAGTGAGACTACGACTTGGGTAAGAGAGGGGACGTAGATAGAGATGGAGTTCCAATGCAGTGAATAATGAAATGATTTCCCCAATAAATGCAAAATCCAGCAAATACAAATTGACCAATGCAAAGAAGTTAATGCTCAATGAGTAGGATTGAAGAAAATGAAAACCATGTAGTTGGGGAATTTCTATGAACACTTGGTGGTCGGTCTTTGAAAACTAAAGAAATGAATGGAAATAGGCCACCAAGGTCTCCCAAAATGTATAGTAAGCTCATTAAAGCGAAGAAAAACAATCTAAGGTCATCAAAAAGTCATGCCAAGATGAAGATGAGCATTTCAAGATCTGAAGGCATTCCAACACATGTTGAGAAAATACGGTGGTTAAAATATGAGGAAATGCGAAAGTGTACCTTATCTTGCTAGGAGACATGTTGGGAATCCAAAAACAATTAAAAATTCTTATCAAAAGATGTTGGAAATTGTAAATAGAAAAGGTATGCTCAACAAGAAGGGAGGGGGGGGGGGGGAGCGAAACATGGCATGTAGATCTAAAAGATTATATGAAGAGACTACATATGGATGCTATATGGAACCTTTAAATAAGCACGGACAAGATTGCGAGTTGCTGACACGAGATTGTGATCTCTAGTATGTCAACCGCGATCTTTGCCCTTATCGTGACAACATGTTTTCACCAATTCCTTAAGCTTAAACATTCATCTAAATCATTCAAACATCCACAGAAAAGAAAAGGAAAGAGCTAAGTCATACCAATCATACTCAATGCAATTCTAATGTCTACTCAAGCAATTATTCAAAAAGAAAAAGGAAAATATACGCAAACCGAGTTGTTGGGTTGTCTCCCAATTAGCATGTCCTTTAGATCATTTCACCGGACCATCGTCTTCAAGTTCTCAGTCCAACTTAGAACCTCCTTATAGTTGAGGTTATCGTCGGTGAGTCGATGCCTCAAGTCCCGAGTTTTGGATGTCCCAAATGAAGTAGTCGACCATTGGACTTGGCAAGGCTTTAGTCTCCACCCACGAGACCTCTTCTTCTTTTCTCTACTCTTCTCCTTGCCCAACACCATGTAACATAATCTTGGTTGACCCTCATTAAATCCACCAAGAGGGATATTTGACCGTGTGGCCTCGGTTTGGCAAAGAGTCCCAAAGGGGTCCTTTTTTAAGAGAGCGTAGGTCAAGTTGGACACCAAATGCACTTGGAACCGCCTTTCCTTTTTCTTTGAAATGTGGCTCCATGTAGGAATGAACAAGATCTTCCTCTTTCTCGACGCACATTCCTTCTTCCCGAATGTGTGGAGGATATGAGCGAACTAACTAGTCTAGGGATCAAATAAAGATAAAAGCATGTAATTCAGGGACTATCCCTTACCCTAGCCTAGGGAAACTATGCAACGTCTAGAAACTTAGGGTTTATCGAATATGGTGAGTGAGCTCTTTTCCATGGGCTTTCGTGGTTTGGCCTTCGGGGACGAGGAGTTTGCGAGCTGACTTCACGGTCGCAATTCACGAGTCGCGATCACGAACTTCCTCGCGGTCAATTTACACTATGGCCGTGTTCTGATTGGGGAAAGTTTTTGTTTCTCCTCGACTGCTTCTTCACAAAGTTCGCGCCCTGAGCCTTCAAATTCGCGACCGCGATCTTGGGCTTCCAGGCCGCGATCTTCACCTTGAGTTCGCAGGCTATATATCGGCCGTGATCTCCATCTCCAGTACGCTATATTCAATCTTCTTGCTTTTAGCTACATTTGTGTCCTTTTTGTACCTAATTCACATGTATTGTCTAAAGCACCCTAAAATCACACTGAAATCAAATAGAAAAAATATGGTGCAATTGACACTTTTCAAACAATTATGCACATAAGTTAACTCGAAACAACCTTAATATGAATTGTAAATAACACTAATTTAGATGTTATCGGCCGAAACGGTAGGATTTGTCAACCATTGATTTGACATCCAGCAAACAACAGGTTTAAATCAAATCCATCAAGGTTGGGATGACTCAAATCCAACTAGGAAACCAACCCTCCCCTTAAACAATGAGGTTGCCTTTTCTCATTATTTGGAGGATATAATAAAATTAGGGTTGAGCAATTTCTATTGAAGCAGCTGCTCAGAAATCATGCGATAAACAAGATGCTGATACTCATTGTAGCTAAATAATTTATGATCGATATAAATGGCTACACTTACGCTTTTGCCCTACATTTAGCTTCTACTGATCAATTATAGTCGATTGCATTGACTATGTGACCCTCTCAATCTTGTCTCTGCACTTCCTAGCTTCCATCTCATTCCATAGCTTCATCGCCAAACGATCCATTCCACACTGTTGAAGTCCATTGTAAATGTCCATTACGATGTCTAAAGTGGGAGTCAAACACCTGTCAAACATCTCTAACAAGACTTTGCCTGCTCCGTCAAATTCCTTGATCTTACAAAAGCCAGCAATCAACGTATCAAATGTCTGCTGGTTTGGATGACACCCGCTCCTTACCATAGACCTATATAGCTGAAAAGCACGATCCGGGTTGTCCCTTGCACACTGCCCTGTAATAAGTGCAGAAAACGTAGAAGAATTTGGCACCAATCTCTCCTTGTCAAGTTCCTTCACTAAATACGCAGCTTTCTTGGTCTTAGCCTCTCTGCACAAACCCGAAATCATTGCATTGTAAGTCAGTATATCAGGCTTAATGCCAGCTCTCACCATCTCCTGATAAAGCATATCATTCATCTCAGAGTTCCCCACTTGGCTGAATCCATTGATCAAAGTGTTGAAAGTCACGATATTAGGAACGACATTGCTGAGCTTCATTTCACTAAATACTCTACTCGCTTCCTGCAGCTTCCCTTCCTTCGCAAACCCATTGATCAAAGTGTTGAAAGTAACCACGTTTGGCTCCATCCCATTCTTACCCATCGAGGTTCTCAGCTTCATCGCCGAGCTCAGAAGCCCCTTCCTGCAATACCCTGCAATCAGAACATTGTAAGAGGCGATATTAGGCGCCACTACTCGGCCATTCTCCATGTCGCTGAAGAGCTCAACTGCCTTCTCGATCTTTCCACCTTTGCAGAAAGCAGCCATAACCATGTTCAAAGTGTACACATTCGGCGTTATCCTACACCTCCTCATCTCGCCATAGAACCCCAATGCGATATCCGGTCTGTTTGAACCAAGCAGCGCGCTCAAGTAGGCATTGCAGGACTCAACAGTGGGGAAAAACCCATAATCCTTCATTCGAAGAAACAAATCAGTAGCAAACCTGAACTTCTTCGACCGCGCATAAACGCTGAACAGCGAGTCGAACACTCGGGGTGAAGAATCGCAGACCCTGTACGAGTGGAGCAATACATCGAACAGCTTGTCGGCAGAGTGTGCGGATGACCTGATTCCCAGTCCATCCTTCAAGATTGATTCCGCGGACTTGAATTTGCGATTCTTTGTCAAGATGTGGAGAATGATGGAGTGGGTTTCGACAGTGAGGGAATCCGGGCTGTGGGTTTTAACCCAGTCGAAGAACTCGAGGGAGAGGACGTGGTCTCGCTGGATTTTGAGGAGGACGTGGGTGATTCGAAAGGGAGTGAAATGGGCGGGTGGTGAAAGCTCGAGCTTTCCCCAGTCGGAGTGGATTATGTGGCTGTGGGCAACGTTGACGAAGTCCAGGTCCTGCCCTCTGGCTTCCGGGATCGATCGGTGGGGGATTGGGATTAGATTTTTCCGGTTCCCGGCGTAATCGGCGGGAGGTACAGTTGAAAATCGTCGACGAAGGACGATAGGGATGGATTTGCCGGAGGGAAGTTTCACCATTTTGTTTTTCCATGAGTCGGATCGAATCGAGTTATGTTCAATTCAAAGCTTCATCCTGAATTGCATTTGGGCTTTTATGTTCCGTAAACAAAATGTAGCCTTCAATAATTTATTTTACTACTTTACGTCTTCACTTCGTTTGGGCTTGTAAAGGTTTGATCCATATCCACTATCAATAGTCTAATATCTTCTACGTTTATTTTCGAAGTTGCTATTTATCGTCCTCGAAATTTGTTTAAATTTACTCTAATATCCTTTATTTTTTATTGTCTTTCAAATGCTAAAACCCTAAAACAAACACATACACTACTCCAAATAACAAAATACAAATACAAGGTTCATAAAAAAAAATAACAAAATACAATCCAAGAAATAACACCAAACAAGAAGAAGAGAAAAAACAACCCATACACTAACACCTCACCATGGGTTTGAAGAACAATTTCGGATTGAAACTTTCTACGGTGGGCTCATACATGAAGACAAGATCCTCATTGACTCTCTTTGTCAAGGGAGGTTGATGAATATGACCCCTCCTCAAGTGACCCAATTGCTAGAAGATATGGCCCTCAAATGATATGATTGAGGTTTGACGAGAAGTGGGAAGAGAAGCAATGAAAGAGGAGTAAGAAGTGTGGGAGCAAGTGCCCCACTTGAAGCAAAACTTGACAAGTTGATCGAGGTAATTCTTGTGGATAAGAAGCAAGGGGAGAGAGAAGTGATGTCTAGTGGCTGGGGTGCAAGTGCGGACCAGGAGGAAGCTGAGTGTCACATGGTGAGTGGGGAACCGGCTCAATGCGAGCAGTTGTACTCCATTGCCCCTGGGCATGCCGACCGGATGTCGAACCTAGAGCAGTTAGAGACGACCTTTGCTGCCTCCAGCTCGAAGAAGTTTGAAAGAATTGTCAGGTTCATAGGAGAAGGGATAGAGAAATTCTCAACCATAGAGGCGGGGTTGCAGATTCACCAAACACTCTTGATAACCCTAACCACAAGTGTGGGGGTGGTTACTCTTCGAAGTGGAAGAGAGGCCAGGGAGCTACCCCCAAAGAAGAAAGCGCTTGCCTCAGAGGAGCAACAGAGGGCTAGTAGCCCTCCCGAGCAATAGGAGGTTACGAGTGCAATAGAAAAGGAGAAGGCCGCTTCAATCCCCCAACCGGAGCAAAGGAAGGAAAAGGAAGCTCCAACTCTTCCCTATCCTTCTCGACTCTAAAATGACAGTATGACAACAGAGTTTGCCCACTTTATGGAGTTGATGAACCAGTTGCACTTAAACATCCCCTTCATGGAGGCCGTCACCTAGATGCCAAAGTACGCAAAATACTTGAAGGACCTCCTTTCCAACAAGAAGAAGCTGGAGGGGATAGCTACGGTGAGCTTGAATGAAGAGTGTTCCGCCATCCTGTAGAACCACCTGCCCACAAAGCGCAAAGATCCAAGGAGTTTCACTATCCCTTGTTTTATTGGCAACATGTGCATAGGAAAATCCTTGGCGGATCTAGGAGCCAGTATAAATGTGATGCCTTATAAGTTGTTTCAAAAGCTAGACCTAGATGAACCTAGAATTACTAGGACGAACATTCAGTTGGCGGATAGGTCTATTGTACGACCTAAGGGTGTCATGGAGGACTTGCTCATTAAGGTGGGCCCTCTCATTTATCAAGTCGATTTCGTCATTTTAGACATTGATGAAAACGTGGATGTCCCTCTCATCTTGGGTAGACCTTTCTTAGCTACCGTCAAGGCCTTGATTGATGTGCATGGGGGAAGTTGGTGCTTAGGGCAGGGGAGGAAGAAGTTACATTCTCTGTTGATGATAGCATGAAGTTCTCTCAGCATCATTATGATTTTGATTATTGCGACGCGGGTGCCCATACTTCTGACCCTTTTGAAGAGTGTTGTTTGGTAGAGACGAACAACTCGAACTCTCCGGAAGAGGAAAGCTAAGCGAACTTCCGCAAGAACAAGAAGTGGAGGCCTTGCCCTCGATGCCAAAAATCCCTACCTCGTTGGAGGAACCTCCCTAGTTGGAGCTAAAGCCTCTGCCTCCACATCTCGAGTACGCTTTTCTGAGGGATGATGGGAAACTCCCAGTCATCATCAACTCAAATCTTACACCAGAGCAGAAGGTTGGATTGATTGCGGTCCTAAAGCGTCACGAGAGGGAGATAGCATGGAAGCTCACAGATATCCGAGGGATCAGACCGACCTTTTGCTCGCACAAAATCCACTTGGAGGAGGGTGCCAAACCAGTTCGACAACCGCAAAGGCATGTGAACCCTAACCCGGAGGAAGCAGTGAAGGTGGAAGTGATTAAGCTATAGATGCTGGGATTATCTACCCCATTTTGGATAGTCGGTGGGTGAGCCCGACTCAGTTGGTTCCTAAGAAAGGAGGAACCAACAAGAACAGTGACTGGATGGAGGGTATGTATTGACTATCAAAGGTTGAACTACGCCACTCGGAAAGATCACTTCCCTTTGCCCTTCATCGATCAAATCCTGGAAAGGCTTGTTGGACATGATTACTACTGCTTCTTAGACGGGATGTCAGGATACTTCCAGATCCCAATTACTCAGGAAGATCAAGCTAAGACAACATTCACACGCCCCTTTGGAACATTCACTTATAGGCGCATCCCGTTTGGATTGTGCAATGCCCCAGCAACATTCCAGAGATGCATGGTAGCCATTTTTTATAAGCTAGTGGGGGAGATAATAGAGGTGTTCATGGACGACTTCTTGGTTTTTGGAGATTCATTTCGTTACTGCCTTGCCAACCTGGAGAAGGTCCTTGAGCGATGCAAGAAACCAATCAAGCTTTGAGTTGGGAGAAGTCGCATTTTATGGTGCGAGAGGGCATTGTGTTGGGTCACAAAATCTCTAAGAGAGGAATTGAAGTGGATCGAGCCAAGGTTGAAACAATAAGCAAGATCCCTCTACCAACCACAGTCAAGGACATCAGAAGCTTCCTTAGACATGATGGGTTTTACCGTCGGTTCATTGAGAACTTCTCGAAGATTGCATTACCCCTGGCCAAGCTTTTGAAGAAGGATGCCCCCTTTCTTTTCACAAAGGAATGTTTGGAGGCTTTTAAAATCCTCAAGGCGAAGCTTACAGATGCCCCCATAATGGTCTCGCCGGATCAGAGCCTTCCTTTTGAGCTCATGTGTGACGCTAGTGACTATGAAGTGGGAGCGGTGTTGGGCCAAAGGCGGAGGAGAACTACATTCAGTGCCTTTGGCCCAACACCGCTTCCTTTTCAACCTATTTTCTATGCTTCAAGGACACTGAATGATGCTCAGGAGAACTACACAACTATCAAAAAAGAGTTGTTGGCAGTGATCTTCGCTTTTGATAAATTCAGATCTTACCTGGTGCTCTCAAAGGTTATTGTCTACACCGACCACTCCGCCATCCGCTTATTGATGAACAAGGCGGACGCCAACCCCTGACTAATCCTATGGATCCTGCTTCTTCAAGAGTTTGATGTGGAGATAAAGGACAAAAAAGGAGCTAAAAAACTTGCAGCTGACCACCTCTCGCGACTTGAAGGACCGGAAGGGGGCAACTCCCATAGAGAGATAAATGACACATTCCCCGATAAACGATTATTCGCCCTCGCCGCTGTAGAGAGTGCCACACCGTGGTTTGCCAACTTCGCGAATTATCTGGTTGGAGGGCAACTGCCCAAGGGGATGTATACACATGAGAGAAGGAAGTTCTTCTCCGACCTCTGATGCTACTTCTGGGATGATCCCCAACTCTTTCGGATTGGGGCCGACGAGGTTATTCGGAGGTGTATACCGGAGAAGGAAATGATGGTTATCCTAAACCACTGCCACACGGGACCAGCTGGAGGCCATCATGGAGGCAACCAAACTGCAAGGAAGGTGCTCTAGTCGGGATTCTACAGGTAATGTTTCTAACTGAAATGAGATGCCCCAGATGATTTCCATTACTTGTGAGATTTTTTTATGTTTGGGGCATCGACTTCATGGGTCCTTTCCCATCGACTTCATGAGATGCCCCAAATGGGTTGAGGTTCAAGCTGTCCCCACCAATGATGCAAGACGAGTCTGTGGATTCCTTAAAAAGTTGTTTTCAAGGTTCGGGACCCCAAGGGCCGTCATTAGCGACTGAGGAACCCATTTTCAGGGGCAATTCGACAGACTCCTCGATCGCTATGGTGTTACCAAATGGTGTCAATGGCCTATTAAATAGGGAACTGAAAAGGATAATGGAAAAGACCGTGGATCAATCCTGCAAAGATTGGTCGGCAAAACTCGATGATGCTCTATGGGCGTACCACACGGCCTAGAAAACACAAATAGGCATCTTGCCTTACCAATTGGTGTATGGCAAGGCTTGACACTTGCCTGTAGAGCTAGAGTACAAGGCGTTCTAGGCCACAAAGATATTAAATATGGACTCTATTTTTTGTGTGGAAATGAACGAAAGTTGCAGGTGCTTGAACTCGAAGAGTGGCGTCTCCAAGCCTATGAGAACACCAAAATTTACAAGGAAAAGACGAAGCACTTACATGATGCTCGGCTGAAAGGAGGGAAGGATTTCCAACCGGGAGACCAAGTACTCTTATACAACTCCTGGTTAAGATTTTCCCCCAGGAAGTTAAGATCGAAATGGTCGGGCCCGTATGTGGTAACGCAAGTGTTCACATACGGGGTGGTCAAAATCTCCCATCCAGAGAAAGGAATTTTCAAAGTGAATGGACACCACCTCAAACGTTACCTTGGAGGAGAGGTAATTCCTCAAAAGGAGGTGGTGTTCCTACAAGATGCCTAATCCGGAGTCTCCTTCTAGCTACCGACGTTAAAGTAGCATTTGTTGGAGGCAACCCAACGAAGGTTAGCAAGTTTGAACTACTACTACTATCGGATTGTGTTGTGTAATAACCTCGCCTTGAGTGAGTCGTATTGTGTTTGTGTGTGTTTTGTCTTTTACTTGAAGCTCCAAATCTCCTACCCTGGAAACAATTCCAGCTTTCACTCACCAAGCAAAGCGGTAACGTCGTTCTACCCCTATCTTACGTCTTACTCCATTGAGGGCAATGTCGAGCTTAAGTGTGTGTGTGTGGGGGGGGGGGGGGTAGTCTATTATTATGCTTGTGTGAGTGTGATTGATGCTTGGAGCCTTGATTTATGCACAAATTTGAGGGCTCCAAGCAATATTTGCATGATCAAAGTGGCCGGTTTGTAGGAGAATATTGTGGTTATTGGCATTAACCTTGAATGGTAGCATGTGATCTAGTATGTCCTATGATGATGACTGAGAGGTGCATTTGGATAGTGCAAAGGTTTAGTTCTCATGTGTGCAAAAATGAATGGATGTTTTGACTCGATTACTTGTTGATTACAATTGCCATGCATGTTGCTTTGTGAATTGGAATATATAGTTGGGTGACTAGGTAGCCATGTGAGCTTTTAGCCGATTGTTTTCTTCTTGTGTGCTGAGATCCCTCTTAACATGGCGAGTAACATCATAGTTGTCACTAGTGAGTATGATGGAAGCATAGGATTAGTCCACACCCAAATGTTGATTGTCCCGAAATGATTTATCCTCTAGTCAACCCCTTTGAGCCTTGTGACTTCGGGGGCAGTCTCATGTTAGGAGCTTTTTGCTTGTGAGCTTAATAGTGTTGATAGAATGATTCCACACAGAGCTCTCTGTAGATGAGCTCGTCCACGGATAAAAGACTCCGCCACTAGGGATAGATGAGCACCCCCGACACGCCGACCAACACCTGAACATGGTGAACAAATCTAGGCCTAAGAACCAGTGCGGTCCTGCATGATTGTTCCTCCACTATTCGAATTTATTGCCGTAACCAAGTAGCTAATGTTAGGGTGAGTGGTATCATCCATCCTGCTAAAACATTATAACCATACACCATACGTGGAAACATTTCATTAGTTTCAAATCAATGGGGAGAAAAGGAATTTCCCCCCACATATAGGATCCCACTATGGCTATTCCGCTTCAAGGCTTCGCACAAGACCAATTCTCAAACATTTAAGCTCAATTGCACACAAGGCACATCGATGCATGGTTCTAGATGATTCATAAATAAATCAACAAAGCAAAATCGAGCCTAAACCATGCCTCAATGGCCACCAATCATCATTCACAAAAGAGGATCAACATTTCTTCAACCTTGCACTTGGTGGGCAATTTTCTCAATTCAACACAAATCCTACCCAATTCGTACCCACCAAGGCTCAATTAAGCTCATAACCATTTCATTCATAATTCAAATAACATTAATCAACTAACCCCTCGCCCAATGTCAACATTCATTTACTAAATCCGATTCTCCAAAATTAACAAGGTAAAATTTTAAAACAAACCTGTAGACTCAAGTACGATGAAAGCTGAGGAGAGGGCGAGGGATTCGAAAAAAATGCACAAAAACTGCCTAGAGAGGCTCGCCGGGAATTCACCTGAGGCTCACCGGAAATTGCCTTGCAGAAAAAATTGAGCCCAAATCTCGGCGAAGGCGCACCCAGACGAGAGAAGATTGGGTCTAGTTTTTATTTTGAATTTGGGTGGCCAGAAGTCGCCAAAATTGCCGAAAAATGATGGTTGTCGCGATTTCCTGTTAGGATTTCAGAGGATTCTAGTGATGGCAGCGTGAAGTGAAGAAGAAGGGTTCACACCCTTTATATTGCACGAGCCCACAGTTCACGGACGAAAGTTAATTTTCATGGTCGCGTCGACCATGATAATAACTCTATGACCGTGAACTCGGGCAAAAATGATACGTTTTAAAAACTGGGGCTGCCCTTTGTTCACGATCTCCGCCTCATTAACACAGTCGGCTGACCGTGATAATAGGGCTAAAACCGTGAACTGGTGAAAAACAGGGCATTTCCCAAAATTTCATAACTCGATCTAATCAACCATGTCCCTAGCTCGATCACAACACATTTAAAACATGTAGACACACAACTCTGGCACGGTGATCACCACTCAACCACTTAAACTAATCACTCAATCACAAAAAGAGGAAACAAAGAAAAAGAAAACAAACCTATGTTGGGTTGCCTCCCAACAAGCGCTAGGTTTACGTCGCCAGCTCGACATTGCGGACCTTTCATGCTTGAGATCACGAGGCTTCCGAGAGTGGATCCGCCACGGTCTCGGGGAGAGACTTGTCGCCTCCCATCTTAAGCTCCAAAGGGTGGCGTGCTTGGTCGGGCACTTTTGCCCTACCCTTGTCCTGCTTTGGGGCAAAGATGTGGCTCATCTTTGCACACCACGCTTTCTTCTTCCTCCCTTCAGGTTTAGTACCCGCCTTAGGCTCCTGTTTAACATCATCCAAAGGAACCAAAACACTAGTGGGTTTTGCCTTCAGGGGCTCACCACCACTTGCAACCACAACCTTCGATTCCATTTCCTTTACATCACCCTTCTTACTCTTAGTGTCAATCGAAAAGGTAATTTTGTCCTCTCCATCTCTCAATAGTAAAGTACCCTTATTAACATCAATTAACGCCTTGGCGTTGGCAAGCAAAGGAGGTCCTAGTATGAGGCGCATATCTGCATCTTCACTAATATCCAAGATAATGAAATCTGTCGGATAATAGAATGTGCCCACCCTCACTAGGATATCTTCCACAATACCCCTAGGACTAATTACCAAACGGTCAGCCAAGGTAATACTAACCTAGTCTGTTTCTATTCACCTAGGTTCAATCTCTTGTAAAGCTTAAATGGCGTGACGTTCATGCTTGCTCCTAAATCAGCTAAGGAGTTTTCTATATGGCATGCTCCAATGCAAAGAGGGATAGTGAAACTACCTGGATCTTGTTGTTTTTTATGCAACTTGTTTTGGATGAAGACCGAGCACTCCTCGCACAAAGTGACGATGACGAGGTCTTCAAGCTTGTTCTTCTTGCAAGAAGCCCCTTGAGGTATTTTGCATACCTTGGCATGTACGTCATTGCCTCCTAGAAAGGCATGGTGATGTTGAGCTTCTTGAGAATCTCCATTAACTTCCCACACTCCGCCTCCAATCGGTCCTTATGCACCCTTGTAGGGAAAGGAACAGGAGGCTTGTATTCAGCCACTCGTGGTGGCGTTGGCGATGCCTTCTTAGTCTCTTCTTCCTCTCTTTCTGTGCCTTCTTGATCATTGACCGTTGGAGGAGTCTTCTCTTCTTCGACTACTTCTTTAGCAACAACTTTCATAGTTACCTTTTTGCTCCTCAAGAGAATAACGTTGCAACCGGTGCTTTGATCTTTGGGGTTGGCAATCATTTGGGAAGGTAGAGCTCCCCTTGATCTTTCGGTGAGGATCCCGACAAAATTGCCAATTTGAGTCTCCAATTTTTGAAGACTCGCTTGATGACTTATTAGACCTGCCTCAACCGAACAAAACTTTGTAGTTGCTACATCCATGAATTGCCCAATCTTCTCGAACTTCTGAGAGCTTGTACTCACAAAGGTGATAACTAGGTCTTCAAGTTTTGCAAACTTGTCGGGTTGTTGTTGTTGCTATAAGGGTGGTTTCGACACCGCGGGTTGTAAGTGTTGCTATAAGGGTTGTTATTCCCCCTGGCATTAGTGATGAAGCTCACTTGTTCCTCGGGGGTGCTTGCTTCCTTCATTAATTGGCACTCCGAAATCTCATGGTTGGTACTTGAACACCAACCACATGCCATCAATCTACAAAAAAAAAAAAAAAAAAAAAAACTTGCATGCCATCAATGGCTTCTTCCCTTGCTTCTTATATTCAAGAAGAGCATCAGTCAATCTTGGCGGCAAGTGGAGGACTTACTTCGGTGGAGTGTACTCCTCTGTTGGCATCCCTCACACCTTTTCTCGTCAAAATCCAATCATACCCTTGTGTTGCCATATTTGCAAGCAATCGGGTTAGCTAGGGTGGAGTCTTGTTCATCAACTTACCTTGACATATAGAGTCAATGAGAATCTTGGCTTCTTCGTGGACACCGTCGTAGAAAGTCTCAATCCGAAACTGTTCTTCAAACCCATGATGTGGCCATTGGAGGAAAAAGTCAAAGTACCTCTCCCATGCGTCTTTCAATGTCTCATCCTCTTTTTGTTCGTAATGGGTGATCTACTTGCGCCGCTCCCCCGCCCATAAGCCTAGAATACTCGCCAAAAGATCAAATGACGTGGTTGAGATGAAGGAACTCTTACCCAATCAATCACTGATCTTGGCATTTTTCTCTTTACCACCCGCAAGAATGTTTGCATATAATCGTAGGATTCTTCCCAATTTCCATGCAACTTCTCCAATGTTCTCTGTTTCCCATACCATGCCTTCTTGTAAGTAACTTGTATATTAAACTTATCTTTCAACTCAGCCTGCACAGTTAGACACTCGAAATTTATTTAGGCACGTACCAAATTCTTCACGGACTCAGATATAACGTCGACATCAAGATGACGATGATCTGTCAGTTGAGTTGTACTGCTACAAGAATACACCAACTCGGCCTTTCTCACAGTCCATTCACTTCTAGCATCTTGACATCCAAACCGCACCATCCAAGCACAATTGTCATCCTTGTGCTTCAAGCATCTGACCTTCCAGATTGGAGGTGAGGAATCAACCACGAAATATTGAAAGTTGTGTTGTAGTGCATAATATATAATCGCCACCTGTGCAGCTTATTTGGAGTGAAATATTTGCCCCTTGTAGTATTCTTCTTCAAAACCAACAACAATAAGCATTGGAATTACGCCATATGAATCAACATATGATAATTCGTCGTCCTATTCATTGCCATGCAAGTAAAACTCTGGAGGATGATTAGGCTCTTCTTCCCCTTCTTCTTCCTCCTCATCTTCCTCCTCGTCTCCGTCGTCATAATCACGATCAGATGGCAAACTCCATGTCTCATCTTCACCCTGACCAGCTTGGCTAATCTCGGCATGTATCTCAGCACCCAAACAATAAGGGTTATGTGCAATAAAATCGAAAAGCACATTCAAACTATCATCATCCACAATAGGCATCACATAATGAAATATAACACCATTCTGCCATTATGAAAGACAGTAAGTGAAACTTGTGATCATATCACTATCTTGTACTGCTTCATCTTTACGCCGTATTCTCGTAATTAGATTCTCACAAAATTGATTATATGTCACTTTGCATGAAACTATCAACTGAAAGCTTCTACCACCAAAAAGATGTACGCCCAAATTGTCCTCTACTTTCTCTGATTTCCACTGAACGACTAGTTCAAATCTTCTAAAAATCACTACATAAAAACACATTCACTAATTACTAACTAAACAAAATCATAATAGCATTTTAATAATATAATTAAAAAAATAAAGGTGTCTCTTACCTATTAGCCATCTTTGCAGCAACCAGCAAAGCTCCTCTCGTTTAGCTTTGTAACATCGGTTTTTTGTGGTGAGCAACTAAAAGGGAATAGCTTGTGTATATATATATTTTACAACAATAGCTTGTGTATATGGTGTTGAAGTGGGTGGGCAAGGCAGTGAATGCACCCCAGACTGGAGCTGCTCCGCTGGTCAAAATATTGAGAATCTTCACAGACTGCTCCACCAAACACGCCCCAGACTCGAGCGGCCTCGCTCGCAAACAAAATTTTTAAAAAATTTTGCGCATCCGCCTCGGACTGGAGCGTGTCCACCGCGGCCCAACACAAATTAAAAAGCTAAAAAAGCGGATCCGCCTGAGTGTAAGACGAACTCACTGTTTCTCCCATCCAAAACACAATATCTCTGTCAATACTTTCAAAACCGCTATATCTGTGGTAAATAAAAAAAAGACTATATTTAGAAAATTTACCCACTTTTCACGCAATACCAAATAAAGTAATTTATTTTTCAGAAGGAAAATAAAGAGGAAACCCCTGGATTACTTTTATATTTGAGGAAAATAAGTCATTTGTCAATTCCGATTTTGCCCACAAACCAAACCCTAAGAAAAGAATAAATATGAGAGTATGATAGTTAGAATTTGGTAAAATTATACAACAAGAAGAAGATAAAAAAATAAAAATTTTAAATAAATGTAATATAAAAACTTGAAATTGAAAAGGTGAAGAAAGCGCATTATACACCAATGTGCAAAATAGCAACCTCCACCATTAATACTATTAACATCGTTTACTTTGCACTGAAATTATCAAAAATGATTTTTATTAAATTTTCCCCCAAATTTTGATCGGCGTCGGAAACCTCTCACTCTTCCCCTTTCCTTCTCCGCCGTCGAATTTCTTCCCCACCTTTAAACCCGACCAGGGAAGCCCGCCGATTCTGCCAATCATTTCCCCCTTTCAAAAACCCTAATTCCCTACTTCATTGAAAAAAGGGGAGGACAAATTGTTTATGTTGGTTGCAGTGTGGGTTTGAGTGTTTAACAGTTACAGTGAGATTCAGCAATTTCAAACTCACTATCTTGATTTGCTCGAGCTCCCAAAATCCACGTGGCGATCTGGGTCTTTGCTTTCCACTTCTCACTCTCATGCTTAAATCTCAGTGAGCCCCCTCAACTTATTTTTGTGTCCAGCTTCTGTGTTTAATTTTGTTACTTTGGATTTGCTTGTGTGAATGTGAATTGTTACTGGTTTGCGATTTCCCGACTTCGATCTGTTGGGGAGTCCCTTTTGTGAGTGCGATAAATAGTTTTTCCAGGATCATTTTGCTGTTAATCTAGGGTTTAATTTAGCTTCGATCTACTTGCATTTGGCTTAAAGATTACATTTGGCGGTGGACTGTGGCTGCGTTTGCTGAGAAAACTTTGTGGGAAATGGAGAGCTAGAACTCGAATTTTTCACTCTTCCATTGCCGGGTTTGATTGTTTTTCACTGATTTGATATTCATGTCCGGAGAAGAAACTAATCCTTACTGTTTGTTGTTTGTTTACTCTCTTGTTTTTCTGCTTCCATTTCCCATTTGCCAAAAATAGCTTTGACTGAGTGTTGAATTCGTTCTGAAAATGGGCTGAATTTATGTAGAGAAGCGATTGAATCATGCTTTACTGTTAAAAAACTTTGCTCCCTCGTAGAAATTCTTTTGAATTTGGTCTTTTGAAATTAATTGTGAGAAAACGTCTGTTGCAGATAAGGAAATGTGTTTCTTTGGTGGAAGGAGTCGTCATCTTGAGCATTTACGCTTGCTAGGCTGGCCATAGCTTCTGCTTCTAAGATTCGTTATACGCTCAATCCAAACTTATCACCTGTAATGGAAGCAAGCATCACAGAGGCAATTCAAGCCAAAGAAATTGCTGAGAGACGATTTGCGGAGAAGGATTTCACCACAGCTAAGAACTATGCACTCAAGGCCAAATCCCTTTGCCCGGGACTTGAAGGCATCTCTCAAATGCTCGCTACTTTCGATGTCTACATGGCATCCGAGGCCAAATGCAATGGTGGCCAAGTTGACTACTACTCAGTCCTCGGCTTAAAACCCACATCAGATCGAGACGCTGTGAAAAAACAGTACCGCAAATTGGCTGTCTTGCTCCACCCTGACAAGAACAAAACAGTTGGAGCAGATGGTGCCTTCAAACTTGTCTCAGAAGCATGGACCGTGTTATCAGACACCCTCAAGAGAGCACCATGCGATCTCAAAAAGAAGTACGCCGCGAGCACATCAGTGAAAAATCCTTGTCTCGATACTTTCTGGACAGTCTGCACCTCATGCAGAGTTCAGTACGAGTACCTTCGTAAGTATGTGAACAAGCGACTTTCTTGTAAGAACTGCAGGGGTACTTTCATTGCTGTGGAGACAGGTACAGCTCCAGTTAATGGGTCGTTTCCCTACAGTCCTTGGAATTATGTTCCTAATGCAAATGGATACCCAAATTACGATGGGGTTTCTTATATCCCTACCACGACGAATACTACAGTGTATACTACTCATGCATATGATTATGTCCCGAATGTATCGTTTCAATGGGGATCTTACTCTGCAACTTCTGGAGGTTTATGTCCTAATGAAGCTGCATCTGGAGATGGGTTTTATAAGGTTAATGGAAATATTGCTTCTCATAGAAGGAAGGTTAAGTCTGGGTCGAACGACAAAACGAAAACTGCTCCTCCTCCTCCTCCTGCTGCTGCTGCTGTTGCTGCAGCTACTACTGTCGCTGCTAATGCGAGCACTAGTGCACCAGGTAACAACTTTGTCGGGTATCTTACCAAGGCCGGGAGGCCTGATAAGAGAAGGAAGATTGTAGTTGGAGCGAGTTTTAGAAATGGGTTTGAAGAAAAAGATCCCAAACTTCCATCGGAATTAGGGTTTGGTGATGCACATGTTAAGCTTGAATCTGAACCTAAGGCTTCGAACCCGGTTGTTGTTCTGCCTCCTTTTGATGTTAGGAAGTTTCTGATTGAGAAGGCGAGGTGTGAAATTGGAATAAGGTTGGAAGAAATGGAGCGAACTGAGGTCCTTAAAGCAGAGTCTGGAATCTTCTCTGGACGTCTGAGCAACAAGCTACATAGTATAACAGTTCCTGATCCCGACTTCCATGATTTTGATAAGGATAGATCGGAGGAATGTTTCGCACCAAAGCAGATATGGGCATTGTACGACGAAGATGATGGTATGCCTCGACTGTACTGCTTAATCCGTGAGGTGGTCTCAGTCAAACCCTTCAAGATTCTCATCACTTACTTGAGCTCCAAGACAGATGCAGAGTTTGGTTCGATGAACTGGATTAGTTATGGGTTCACAAAATCTTGTGGTCATTTTAGAGCATGGAATTCTGATACCATTGATAAAGTCAACGTCTTTTCTCATCTGTTAAGAGGGCAAAAAGCTGGAAGGGGTGGATGTGTGAGGATCTTCCCGAAATGCGGTGAGATTTGGGCAGTTTATCGACATTGGTCAACCGAATGGACCAGCTCAACACCGGATGATGTGAGGCACAGTTATGAGATGGTGGAAGTGCTTGACAATTACTCTGAGGATCAAGGAGTCTGCATTGCTCCATTGATCAAGCTACTTGGTTTCAAGACCGTTTATCAAAGAGACGAGAGACAGGATGCGATAAAGTGGGTCCCAAGGCCCGAGATGTTCAGGTTCTCTCACCAGGTCCCATCTTGGTCTCTTGACGGAAAGGCAAGCAATCTTCCTGACAACTGTTGGGATCTGGATCCTGCAGCAACTCCTGATGAACTGCTTCAAGCAAAGGGTTAGTTCTTTCATTACGGACGGGGCTATGATTTCATTACATTGTTACAGAAGGTGACGATGGTGAGGTTGGTGGATGTTTAGGTTGACTGTACAATACTTGCATACATGGATGGCTCAACTAAAGACGCTATCTTTATGCAAATATTTGACTCCAAATATGATTTTTAGATTTTTTATCAGTTTTATCATTAATGTTTCTTACTGAGGGAAGAATTAAGTGAAATGATGAAGAACCCAGGAAGTCTGAGAGGTTGAGGGAGAGCCTTGCTATTGCGTCGAATTGCGTTCAGGCTAAGGGGAGAGTTTATATCTCTGTTTCTGTCTGAATGAGCTCTGTTGTAACAGTTTAGTGTAGTGAGAAGTGGTTGAGAGATTTGAGACAGTCGCTTCTCAGACGTAAAATGGTAACGTCTTTTTTTAAGTGCTTAGTCTCTGCCTCTGTCTATGCATCTCAAAGCACGTCTTTCCACCGGCTTAAAGCATAGTTGCATCACTTAATCCCAGCATCTTGTCAGATTTGCCGTAGATGTTTTCTTTATGTTCAATCTATCCATTCTAAAACCACTCCAAACTAGGTTCTAAGTTTGACCCTTAAAACCCACCGACCCGCCTCGACCCTTAGGGTCGGGCTGGATCAGTTTGTCTATAGGGTCAATTTAGGGTCGGGCCGGCTTAGGGTCGGGTCAGGGTCAGATAGGGTCGGGTCATTTTTTGACCCTATGACCCTTAGCATCATACAAACATGTTGGACCTATTTGTAAAATTTTATAAGTTTAGGTACGAAATTGTAAAAATTAAAAAATTTGGGTACCAAAACGCAATTTTACCATCAAATTTTAGGGACTTATTTGTAAAAAAATTAGGTACTAAAATGTAAGAAAAAATAAATTCGGGTACCAAATTGTATTTTTAGAAAAATAGTCTATTTATTAGGGTCGACCCACTGACCCGACCCCTTGACCCTTCAAGGGCGGGTCAGACAGGGTCAGGGGCGGGTCGGGCCAATTTTCAGCCCTACTCCAAACAACTTGAGTTATAGAGAGTTTTTCATTTTTCGCCCATATAAACTTTATTTTAGAGTTACTGATGGGTCCTGGACATATAGGTGTCAAAACATGACCCGACCCGAGTAACCCGCCCAACCTACCCGATCCGCGACCCGCCCGCAATCCGATTAGACTAAAAGTCAAAGACCGGCAACCCGCCCGACCCGTAACCATCTTGACCCGCAACCCGCTTAACCCGCAACCCGCTTGACCCGCAACCCGCTTGACCCGAACCCGATTGACCCGCAACCCGCTTGACCCGCAACCCGCTTGACCCGTAACCCGACTAACCCGAACCCGCCCGATTGGCACGAATAATACTACATAATATATTTTTGTGCATAAATATTAGGGTTAATACCCTAGTTTGGCCCGAAGTTTGGCTTAAGTGACAGTTATGGCCCTATTTTTCAAATAAGACATTTGTGACCTACTTTTGAAACTATTGGACAAATTTGGCCCAAAATTTTCCTTAACCGTTAACATTAACGCTCAAACACTGTTCCGTTAATGAGTCAACAAAATATTGCTGATGTGGCATGCCACGTCATTAAATAATATTATTTAATTTTATAATTCAATTAAAATAAAAATTAAAAAAATCCTCTCTTATTATCCCAGCCCAAGCCCCAAATCCAAACCCTAAACTAAATCAACATTAGGCACCTCCTTCCTCCTTCATCTTCTTCACCGATCCCCCAAAACTTCTAACTAAATTATCCACCATCTTTTCCCCCTCCAGTCCACCTTCAAAAAATAATGGGCAAGCCTCGCGGTAGTTCCGGTTTGTCCTAGCCCTCCGATCATTCCCTCCCCCAACAATAGCATGCCGGGACCGCTCGTCCCAAGGAGAAGAGGCAGTGGAGTTTCGTCAAGTCCTACCGAGAAAAGGACCACCACGGCAGCGCCTCCGTCGCGGCCTCGACCAAGGTATTGCAGGGAGCACGCGAAGGTTCCTCTTCCGCCTCTGTGATGCCCCGACGGAATGCGGTCGCGGAGGACTACGACGGCGATGAAGACGAGGGCTTCCGTAAGGAAGGAGAGCATTCAAGCGAGCGAGCTATCGCCGGGGCGCCGGATGCCGCGGTGATCGCCGCAAATTTTGCCGTGATGGTCATCCTACTTACCAACAGCGGAGGTCTTGCGGGGGATGCGCGTCGGGGGGAGCGGCGGGGAAGCTCCTCGCGTAAGTCGGATTGAGTGAAGCAAGAGAGATAGTGTGAGTGAGGGGAAATAGAAAGGAAATAAAAAAGAGAGGAATCAGTGAAGAAGATGAAGGGGATGGAAGCGCCTGATGTTGATTTAGTTTAGGGTTTTGATTTGGGAATTGGGAATTTTGGGTAAAGAGGGATTTTCTTAATTTGTAAGTTTTTATTTTAATTGATTTATAAAATTAAGATAATATTATTTAATGATGTGGGCATGCCACATCATTGGGTTTTTGCTGAGTCACTAACGGAATAGTGTTTGACCGTTAATATTAACGGTCAAAGAAAATTTTGGGCCAAATTTGTCTAATAGTTTCAAAAGTAGGCCAAAAATGTCTTATTTGAAAAATGGGGCCAGAACTGTCACTTACGCCAAACTTCGGGCCAAACTAGGGTATTAACCCTAAATATTATATGTAGATAATATATATATAAAGTTTATGTGACTTGCCCTATTATTTTTTCATCTTTCCCACCAAGAACAAAGGTTTACTTTGTGTTGACAAATAAAAACTGTCATTTAATTGAATCACATAATAGTCTCACTGTCTCGGTAGATAAGTAAAAATCCTATGAGGGTTGTCAACATTTTTTACATTTGGTTGATGTATATAAATAATATATATAGATAACACATACATATGAAAAACATGATTGGCTTAATTAAGCCAGTCATATATCAGTACCTAATAATTACAACATTTTTTCTTCCACACATAATATAACTGGTCACATAACATTGTCAAAATATTAACCTAAAATACGAAGATTCATAATAGTACATAAGTCATAACTCATACCCTAGCCCCAATAATAAGAAGATTCATAAAAGTTACGTATAATATACTTACGGGTATTATACTAACATTCTTCACATATCATACGTTATAATTTATACTTTATACCAACAATTTCATAACACATAACTATATTTTATGGTTTAAGGTTAGTGTATAGGGTATACGGTAGTGGACTCGTGGTTTAGAGTTTGGAGTCATAAGACGTATGTTCTTCTCAATAACCGAATATAAAATTGACTCAACTTACATTCTTGATTCTTCACATAACATATGTTATAGCTTATACTAACAATATCATAACATATAACTATAGTATAGGGTATAGGGTTAGGGTTTAGGGTTAGGGTCTATTCATGGTTATGCTTTATGTTGGATATTTTGATTTTTATAGTTTATTAATTAATTTGATTTTAACAACTAGTTTAACTTGTGAATGTACATCTTAAATATATCATATTCAAATGACATTCCGACCAACGAATCGAACAACAAACTAGTTAATCGGTATAAAATTTATCATCTATAATAATAAATATCAAAGAAAGGAAGAACTTGATGTTTATGGAAATTTTTTGAATGCAAAATTCAAAACCCCCAAATATTTGCTCAAAAATTCCCTTGCAAACCCATTTTTTTTAAAAAAATCCCTCCCATAAACCCCCTTCCCCCAATATTTGATCCAAAATTGAAAATTCCCTCCCACCTCCCCCAATATTTGATCCAAAATTGAAATTCCCTCCTATCCCAAAATTGAAAATTCCCTCCCACCTCCCCCAATATTTGATCCAAAATTGAAATTCCCTCCCATCCCAAAATTAAAAATTCCCTCCCACCTCCCCCAATATTTTAATCAAGTGAGAAGGGAAATCCCTATCTCCGCCACCAGACTGTCTCCAGTGGTTCTGTCCCATCCGCTCCCTTGCCGTCTTCGTCGCCTCTAGGTTAGAAAGGACTGAAGACAGTGGAATCCCTGCTTCCTTTCTTCTGCTCTCGGCATATAGGTTATGCACGTTTGTATTTTATATGCACAATTTCAATATAGTAATTGTGTGGTTTGTATATTGCAAATATTTAAGTAGTTAGTTAATATCATATATGTTATATTCCTTACAAATTATGTGAGATATACTAATTTAATATTATCGATTGAGGATAAGGCTAACTGTATAGGATATATGTTATTCAGTAAGTTATGATTGAAGTCACAATAATTTTACTAAATTTGATAGCTAATCTTTAGGACAATTCGAACAATTTTACAAATAACTCGTTTGGCAATAGTTTACTGAAGTTATTTGGGCAATGAGTTATTTCGAAATAACTCCTTTTATCACTATGCTTTTGCCAAATACCACAAACCAAATACCATATTTGCATGGTTATACTAAACAAGATACTTTAATCCAATTACTACTGAAATAATACTCAAATATCAAATAAATAATTAATGATGTCTTTTGGTTGCAAATATTGATATCACCATTACTATTAGCTAGTGTATTTTACCAATTATGATTAATTACATAACAAGTTTGCAAGTCATACAAATTGATTTAACATTTTGACTAGTTTTTTTTTTAATTTTTAAATTAAGTATATATATACGACGTAGAATAAATTGGTTAAAAAGTTGAGAAAAATATTTTAAATTAGTGTAATAAAATGTGTAAGTTGGTAACAAGTAATGAGTAAGTTACTCGATGCGCTGGCCCGAACAACCCGAAACCCGATCCGCCCGCAACCCGCCCGACCCAAAACCCGATGAACCCACAACCCGATTTTTCCGCAACCCGATTGAACCCGAACTCGATGAACCCACAACCCGAATAACCCGCAACCCGTTTGAACCCGACCCGATGAACCCGCAACCCGACTAACCCGCAACCCGTTTGAACCCGAACCCGATTGAACCCAGCCCGAACCCGCCCGATTGAGACCTATCTGGACACTTGGAAGCAAGGTTGTCAAACCGGTTTAAGTCATTGAACCAGTCAAGTAAGGAGTTTGAGGTTTAATGGTCTGATCGGAGTTCGGTCTGTTTGAGCCGTTTTAGTCTTTTTGTAAATATATATACAAATAAGATAGTAATTAAAGATTTAATATCTGAAATGAAATTTATCTTACATATATCTATTAAAAACTTATTTTCCACAAAATAAATCCGCTTAACCTCCATGACTCACCCACCATCTATATTATTTTGTTCCTCTTCCTCTCTTTCCCGTCTCTTCTTCTCCCTTCTTAGGAATCAGACCAAGGGCTTTTTGGGGGCAGTTTTGAAGCCCTACTTAGGTCGGACCGGGTTCAACCGGAGGTCTGACAGGGGTTTTAACAACCTTGCTTGGAAGTGGAGTAGGCATACAAAACAGGCTTCGAGACAGAATCTAACCTACCTCGGGGGAAGATCTGGTGCTAGACTGCTAGTGGGTACAGAAGCTGAATATAAGACTGAACCTTGCCTTACCTTACCTTGGATACATATGCAGCAATGGAAGTACGGATGTCTGTTGCTTTTATTGTGATAGATAGATAGATGGACAAAGGGGGTATCAAAGGACGTGCGTGATGAGATGACTGATGATATTCCATGGAAACTGAGACTGGAAGTGGAAGTGGGAACATATGGGCCAAGGTATCTAAGTCTCAAAAGTAAGAGAACTCAGAAGTGCTGTTTTGTAATAAGTAAAGATTTGCCAGTGGGCCATTGATTCTAATTGGTTGATGCTTTTGGGCTTTGTCCACTTTGTACGACAAAACCCTAAACTGGGCTCGACTGGGGTGGGTAGAGGGTGTTGGTTATCAACTTCAAGTCGAGAACATGATGTGGCTTTTTCACATTATTGTATATAATTAATAGTTCTTTTCACAAACATTAACAGAGATATTGTTTGTATATCATTAAAAATTTATGTACAAAAGATAATGAATTACAAATGTTATTAAGGATCAATTCCTTTTAAACGTTAATAATACTATGATACACTATTAATAATTCTTTTAGCAAACACTAATAATGTAATTGTATGTCATTACTAATTCCTATTACTAGCGTAATAACACAAATTTACTCTGTTAATAATTCTTTTGAAGAACGCAAACAACCAAATTGTATATCATTACTAACTCATTTTAAGATGTTAATAACACTATTGTACACTATTAATAATTCATTTCACATAAGTCAATAATGATATTTTATATCATCAATAATTCCTTTAAAAAATGTTAATGACTAATACCCGATCCCATTAATTTTAACGTATTAAAATAATTAAAGTATGTTATTATATTAACCACAATCTAATGGACCAAAACATATTAATAAACTTGTTAAGTTTTAATCTTTAAGGACCTGGACCCTCAGCTTAGGGTCAAGCTCTGAAATCACGGCAAAAATTGGAGGACCACTAATGCGTATACTGTTTCTACTAACCACACGTCCACAAGCTCTGAAAGAGACAGACTCGTGGTGGTGGTGAGCAGCTCAGCATGCAAGTTGCCACATGCAATGCATGGCTCCCTTGACAAAACAACCAAAGAGAAATGCTAGCTTCTTCTTATTCTTTTCCCTTGCATCCTATTCTTTGGATATGATGATATGTTCATCATTTATCATCAGTCACACATTCGACATTGATAGGATTCCTTCTTGTCCATGGAAGTTTACATCATTGAGCCATGTGATCAGCTCCATTTCATGACATATCCCCATCCTTGTTCTCATATCATGACAAAGACCCACGTGGTCTATTTAATGTAGAATGTTGTTCCAAAAGATCCATAATTGCTCTCTTTCCTTTATCAAGATCGGAAAAATAACTCTCAACTTTTAAGTGATAAATTCTTGCGGTAGAAATGGGCTTTCCAGCAAGGAAAATTTGGTGTTTTTAACTTAATTAATGCACCTCGACTTTTTGAATAACAACGATTAACACGGTTCACTCATTTTTGAACAATATTCGAACGAGAGTGTTTGATATTTTTTTTATGATTTTTCAGGAACAAGCTAAGTTAGTTACACCAACTCTTATTAAGGTTCAATGAGAGCTTCGAAAACTAAAGGTTATGGCTAAATTGCAGAGAAAAATAAAAAAAAAAATTGACATTGTGTGTCGAATGTTTGGTTGTGGAACCCTTTTCCGGTCTTCCTTTTTGCTATTTATAGCCATCACGTGTAACCGTCCTAGTAACTGCTAGCTTGCCTATTGCTCAAACGCCTATGGACCCTCATTGCCAACCGCTTCGGGATCCTCATTGCCACCTTAGTGACCGGTTGGTAACTACCGTTTAGGTGTTCACCACCACCGTCGGGAGTCCCTTGTCCCGTTTTGGTGTTGGTTGATACTTGATGG